AATGAAGGGTGCGTTTTCAAGGTAGATGAACCACTAAATAATATTTGCCATCTCATATGCAAAAATACTGTACCTTGTTTTTATATAGAAGAAAATAAGAGTCTTCATATTTTTAAGCTCCCCAGTAATGGAAGTGTTTCATTAGATTTAATTGTTTTCCAATATTATTTTGATTTGTAGTACATCTTGAGAAACAAGTATGTGGCAAAGTTTGCGGCCCGCCGGGACTTCAGATTTATGCTTGCGGCCCTCGTGGTAATTTGAGTTGTGCAGGCCTGCTGTAATATAATAATAATTCAAGTTATTTCTAAACTTTACCGATTTATGCTTTACACCAGGGATGTGCAACCTGCGGCCCGCAAGAAGGATTTGTGACGCCCGCAAGGAAAAATTGTGCGGCCCGCGGAGAAGTGCCAAGTTTGAATTGTGTGCGGCCCGCGAATCGAGTATAAATTTGGTTCGTGGAAGCAATTCCAATTCATTTGAGTTGCAAAGCTTATACCTGGGTCCACCAATTTATTATCTATCCATATGACGTAACAATACCCTAAGCCGTAACAGCTAGCTTGTGCCAAACGAACAACGCGATTCACAAAGCTGTCACTTGCTGAGCAGCGAGCAATTTAATTAAGGAAAGTGCAGAGCAGACACTAATAAATTAGTTAAAACGGGCAATTAAAGGTTGGGCAATTAGAAAGCAGTCTGAAGAATTTACCCATTAAAAGATACAGAAGCTAAATGAGTTTTGGTTTCAGCATATCAATCGATTTTGTCTAAATCTAGTCGAGAATAACACAGATTTGACAGCAAAGTTTTTGGAAATGAATATTGTCGATTTTCACCAAAAACCTCTCATTCAAGATAACTTTCAACATTTGAAAAAAGTAGGGCACTTTTTGCCTCAACATATTTGCGCGAACAATTTTTTCTCTAAAATGGGCGTCGACAAATATCCCTCTCGATTGGTTCTGACAGACGAACACTTGGAAAACGGACTTCGAATTGCTAGCTCTCCCATTAGAGAAAATTTGGAAAAAGTATTCGAGAAAAAAACTAGCTGCGCATTTCTCACTGAATTCGTTTAAAGTCTATGTGACAATAAATTTGCATAACAATTTATTTTAGAAATTCATGCGTCTTAACTCGTCATTTCTGCAAGGACCCATAGTAACGCCATAAGATCAATAACAAAAAGAAGCTATTTTTGTGCCTGCAACTACTGAGAAGCCTAAGTTAAGTATAGGTGTGACCTTCTGTTTCACCAAGTTAATTGTATCTGGCCCCCTTTTTAAAGTTTGCACACCCCCGCTTCACATAACTGAGCAATTAGCAAGCCCAATAGGATTTTATGTGTGTGTTTTTTTGGCATCAAACATGCATTTACAATGTGAAACTGCGCTGCAGTTTTGGTACTTCTTATTTATTTAATTGTGTTGTTTTATCCGTTTATTTTCTTGCTCCTTTTAATTGCCTTCCGTGTTAGTAGGCAGCTAGAGATACAGCGGGAAACCCGTTTTGCGGATATCTAAAGCAGCTTTAGATTTAAGGTAAGGACGAAGAGCTATGCATTGCACGGCAACACCGTAAAAGACTGCGACTTTATCTGATGACCTCAAAAAAATATCTAAAATTTACCTCTAATGTATTTGCGTATATTAGGCATTCTGAAAATTCTGTTGGAAATTTCAGTTATATATAGACTTTCACTCAAAATTCCGTTGGGACGAAAATCAGTATAAATACCCTTAGTACATATATACGTCCAGTAATGGTAAGAATTATACATGGTTAAGCTGGCGGGATACCTGCACAGGACTGCACCCTCCTAAATAACACAAATGTGCAGCGTGCACCCTTTCACGCAGTTAACATAGATGGTATATCTTAAAATTTCCTACAGACTGTTGATTAGATTGTAAATGCGCTGACCACCAATTCAACTAATCCAATAAAATTTGTCGGTGATAAATATTTACATATAAATTCCGAACTAAGAAATGGACGCTATTCAAAAATTTAATGTGCCGGGGGCAGTCCATTTACAAGTCTGCTAGCAAATAGCCACTGTACAAGCACTCATTGAACTGCTATGTGTTAACTCATTCGCTAGGCACTACAAAAATAGCAAGAGAGCATGGCGACCCCGAAACTGACCAACTTCAGTTGAAATGTTGATATTGACGAGCTGAGATGACGTCTCTCTACTAATTACTCATCGATTTTGATCGGTAAGTATGCTGATATGTATTTGTGTGTTTGTCTGTTAGATACACGCGATATCTCACGAAAGCGAGGTTGAATCCGCTTCTAAAGTTGCATGTGCATTCATCATATCTCGGATCAGAAGCCTATTGATTTTTGATGAATTATGTCGTATAATTAGCGAGTTATCAATTAGTGATGGGACACGCGGTGTCGCTATGGAGAGCAAATGATACACGCCGCTAGATCGATAAGTCGCGGTCTCTGATCACTATCTCGTTTGTTTGTTGATCTAGTATTATTCTAGTTAATTCGCACGGGGAAGTTTCACGGTGCTTTGGACTGCGTGCGCACTAATGTCTATTTATACAATGGCACCAAATAGAGGACAAATGCGTATCAGAACTACAAAGTCTGTCATTTAAAATGGTGGTGTAATGTCTCAGACAAATTGTAAGACTCAGAGAAACCGTCATTTCTTTTTGGGGTAAATTTCAAGGCGCAGTACCAATGGCTTTTTAAATCTTCCCGAAGTGCCTGGAAATATGTAACGTTTTTGTCTGCCGTATCCATGTGAATTTTTGTTAAATGCTGGGGAATTCTGGACGGTTTCATCGTTCATTAAAAAATGTTTCTTTACACATCGAATCTGAATCTGACCAATGGCTTTTTAAATCTTCCCGAAGTGCCTGGAAATATGTAACGTTTTTGTCTGCCGTATCCATGTGAATTTTTGTTGAATGCTGGGGAATTCTGGACGGTTTCATCGTTTATTAGAAAATGTTTCTTTACACATCGAATCTGATTTTGGACTGGAATAAGTCAATATTATAGGTAACTTCTACTTTATTGTCTACATTTTCGCTTCAAACAACGAAACGCACAGGACAAAGTAAAAGAACAATGATTAATGAAGAGTCAATAAACCCAAGCTATGCGCTAGAGTCCAGTGGTTGCCAACCTTTCTACCCTGGCGAACCGGTAAAATTAAATTCAATTTAGTCGCGGACCGGCAAAAAATTGAAATGACCGGAACAGAAAAGAATAACATGTATTTGCGTAATACAATGCAATGTGGGGCACTCAATATGCACCTAGACAAAAAAGGCACACTTAGAAACAGCTCACACGAAGAAAAACTATCAAATAATGTGCCGGCCAAAAATATTTGCGTAATGAAATGCAGTGCTGGACAACCATTATGCGTAAGAAAGGCATACATAAAACATCTCACATAAAAACATGTACATGCCAAATCAAGTACAAACGCAATTAACTCTAATAAAAATTTTGCTGCTGTTTAGTTTCCAATATATATAGGTTTTCAAACGATGCCTCAAGGAAGTTTCTGCAACACGTAGCTCTGCAGCGGCGTGCAGCCAATTTCCTTGCTCGTTTTAATTAAAGCTAGTGATGAAAATATTTTATATATATATAAGTAATAAAAATATAAGTAACTCGTTGAAAATACGGACAACAGTTTGATTGCACGATAACTTAGCGATGGGTATTCGTTATCAAGAAATATCCAAAATTTGTGACAGTGATTCTTTTTTAAATCTGGACTGTAAAGTAGAATCACAATTTGAATCAAGCTTTTTCTTTTTCATCTGGTTTATCATATCAATCCCTCTGCAGTTGATCGATGCTTCTAACGAAATGAATTTACATCACAATGTCAAAGTCGTCGGTAACTTGGCACCAGACTCAAAATCCTACTCTGTCTGCTCAAGATACTGGAAAAGATCTCATCGACCCATGCTTATTTGCGCTCCTCGTGACCACCTGCCATATTTTACTGGAGTATTATACTTTTCTTGAATGTTTTTTGGTTCGAACAAAGAAATATGCATAACGTTTCATTTGGATGGTCATATTAATTAGGAAAAGCATACAGAACAGAAAAAGCACGCGTGCCAATTTTTAGGTTTCTGAATCTTGCGAGATTTGATGGAACGCATTCACGATGAATCGGAGCCGAAAATGCAAAAAGTGTGATTATTTGGCGCCAAGATGTCGCGAAAGACGTCGCAATATGACGTCGGAAGAGAAATTGCGTAATGAATCAACCTCGTCTTCGGTGAAGAGATCGGAGCGCATTCGAGATGAATCGGAGCCGATAAAGCGAAAAGTATGATTACTCGGCGCCAAGATGTCGCAATATGACGGCGGAAGAGAAATTGCGTAATAAACCAACGCAACCTCGTTTTCGGTAAAGCGATTTAGACGGCATAAAAACAACAAAACACCGAAATTTCTCGCGGACCGGCAAGAAAGTTTCGCGGACGGCACCGGTCCTCGGACCGGCGTTGGGAACCAATGCCGGCTAGAAAAGTATTATTACGAAAAATACAAAGGAATAAAAAAGTCATATTTTACGTTGACCCTCGCAATTGCTCGCTAATTGAATAGAATGATAGCCAACACACGGCCGTTCATGCCCATAAAATCGATGGTTTGTATATGCACATTACTTGAGTGTCTGTATATTTATAATGAGTTGGCTGCAAGAGCTCCAGCTTTCGGACGGCGCCCCTTGTTGCTCTGTCTGCGTGTCCATTACTTCATCCGTATCACGACTTCAACCGTATTTAGCAAGTTTATTACTTATCGATTTTAATAGGTAAGTATGTTGATAGGTATTTGTCTGTCTGTCTGTTAGATGTACGCGATATCTCACGAAAGCGATTTTGCATGTGCATTCATCATATCTCGGACCAGAATCCTATCGATTTTGGGCGAATTACGTCGTATAATTAGCGAATTATTAAATAATTAGTGATGGGACACAAGGTGTCACTATGGAGTGAGAGCGCTGTTTTGGGATCCCCTAACTTTCGATCGATAAGTCTTCGGTCTCTGACCGATATTCTCGTTTAAAATGTTATCAATTTTTTTATTTTTTGCTTCAAGACTCGAAAAACAATGTAGGTGCAAAAATGAAAATATAATTTAAAATCATACCACGTTCGAGCAAGACCACCATATTCACACCACATGGGCGTAGCCAGGAGGCTGGGAAACGTGGGTTTCACGTCTTGATGATCAAAAAAGCGTTGAAAGCTACGAAAAATTGCTATGTATGATACAGAAAATGCTTTTTTTACATTCCAAAATGAAATAAAAGTAAAAACCTTTACAAACAACTTTCGTTTCAATTCGTTATTCAAACAGGGTGAAGTTTGAGGTAATTGAAGAAGTTTTATCGGAAAATATCATATTAATTGGATTCACCCTATCGTTTTTAATTTGGCGAAAATGCACATTGCAATATTTTAATTGGAAACAGCAATATTATCACGCCTTGGCAGTGTTTTAACTTTTGACCAAATGTTTTTCTTATCTTGCTGTTTTAAGCCTTTTCTCATAAATTTTGCTGGTTATACAGAAAAACATCTACCTCCGTGCACCTAATCGTTTTTCACTCTGGATATGCAGATATTTCATCCATATACTGTATTTCGCACATTATTGACGTCATTTACCACTTTTATTCATCATTTCGTTGTTCCTTTTTAACAGTCTATGCCTGCTATGTTCTCTTTCAGCGCGTTCCAACAGTTTTGACAATGTATATAAAGGTATATCCAGAGAAGTCATTCTTGTTTTGTTTCGCGTTTTAATCGGGATGGTTTTCCATTTTCGGCTTGTAATTATATCTGACACCGTGATATTCAATCGTAAATTTGTTCCAGTTCCACTTACTTGATGGGCTTCAGTCCCAGGGGAGCGGTCACTTGTTGAAGAAATTGCTGATCGTCCTAGGTACGTTCTCCTCACTTCACGTTTATGATGTCTAACTCTTCTACGACAACCACAGTTTAATTCTTTGAACAAACGCCCTGATTTCTTATGGTACGCATGAGGTAAGTCATTTTCAACCCGAGTGTTATTTAGCGCAGTTCCGTTCCTTTCTTTGCTTACATCCTGTATTCTTGATAAAATGTCTTCACCTGCCATAAAGCGCAATATCGATATCAGCAAAATACCTGCGTACAAGTGGGCACATCGATTAAAAGTCATTACTAAACTCCTTCCACTTTCGAGGCATTCTCACAGATTGTCTAGCCTGTGGGCGACTAAATGGCTTCGAACAGGACGTCATATTAACTTGTTTATTTATGGGATTAAAGATGCTGTCGTCCAGCAACGGTATAGAAAGCGTCTATTGTAATATTTATGAATACAGGCTTCCGATTTAACAAATTCAACCGACTTTGCCTGGCCGCAGACACGCATGTCGACGTGTTTTATTTGTCGGCGTGAAATTAGTGGAATTCCAACTCGGCCGAATTCGACCGCACTATTCCGTGAAAGTATTTATAGAAATATTTTACCTTTGCATGTCCAACAGATTGTTTTCCAAACCATATTCGCAGAATTTTGGCGTTGTAGAAATTCACACTACCCAAACCATTTTTGGCATTCACTTTTCACGATGTTATCGAGTACAAAATGCTGCTATTCGTTAAGATATTTCCATGCAAAATCAAAATTTAAACATTAACATGAACAATGAAAATTTCAATCAATGAAAGCCGTAAAAATATTTTCATAGATAAATTGAAAGGAAGCATTAAAATTACGATTATTCTAAGTACAGTTTGACTTATAAATATGACACAGAGGGGGAAAACATATCATAGACACAATAAGATGTTCGTTCTTCAGCATGGAATTGCTGTATGTTTATGGAAAGGTCGATTTGACAATTATCAGATCGACCGAAACAAAAAAACTTCTCACCGATTTGCGCTATATGTCTCTAAGGTACCAGTAATCGATGAAATAAAAATATTGCCAATTAGAATTTTCGTAATTAGCCACACTGAAACAACTAACAAATCGTTACCGCCGAGGTAATGAAAGCGGTCAAATGTTCTTCTGAAGTTTTCCCTTCTATGCAAAAACCTTTTCTCCAAGAACTCCAGCTATATTTGATTCACTAGCCTACCTCATAGCTATTTTCCAGATCGTATTGACTCAAACTTCTTCAAGTCTTTCCTCAATAGGTATTCTTATCGCTACACTATTATTTTTATAGTGTCGGAAGCTATTGGCATTTTAGTAGTCGCCCGTAGCTTCGCCCATGTATCAGTCTCATTAATTTAGAGTGTGTTCTCTTTCTTTGAGCAAATATCCTTGTAATAGTATTTGGCAATTTCTTGGCGAAATTAGGCTGGTATTAGGTTTATTGTGTCAGAATGATTGACATACTGGATGCAAGAAGGCCAAGTTCGGCATACTGACAAACAAATTTATCATAAGATGTTATCAACAATTTTTTATTGTTTTACCACGTTCAAGTGTTTGCTCTGTAGTGCGAGAGAGACAGGTCTGTCGTCTGCTTACCAGTTGACGTCACGTATAGGGATAAATTAGTGGCTTGGAAATCCCCTCGCACGGAACCATTGCGGACTCAAACTTCTACACCCACTACGTCCAGCGTATATTTATAGATGCGATATATCAACAAAATGTTCTGTTCAACGTTAGTTCGAATTGGCCCAATCGTTTATTAATGCGATACTTCAGTATCAGTTGATGACAACATTCATTACCTCATCCTTCATATACCAGCAGTTAACGACAGTTCTTTTGTGAACTAAATGCCTAAGACGATTCAGACTTGTAGAAGTCTTTCGATTCGATTGATGAGAAATTACTAAGACTTGTGTTCCTTGTTAAGATTGAACATCAATGTTTTATACCATTTGCATCGAAGCATTACCATAAAACCTAGCTTTTGTTGAAAAACTCGTGCTTTTTGCTAGTGATGACTGAAATTTTAGAACGGGTTCTCTTCTGTGTCGAACGCAATAACAACAGGTTCCATCTTTCCAGAAAACCATGCAACTTATTTATAGCTCTTAACAAAATAGAACGGGTTCGCTGAATATCAATATATTTCAGAACCTTCTGAATCCCACTAAAGTCGCTAGCTAGCTTTGCCTCGGCTCTAAATTGCGATTTTCATCGTCGTGTGATATTTGATAAATCATCGCATGTTCAATATTTCAGGTATAATTGTTTAATGCATTCTTTCGAAATCTTTTATTTATTGACCGCTAACACTATTTTCCCGATTCCAGCCGAAGCATACTGAAATTGTATCAAGTTTGTAGCTGTTTTCCGCTCTCATCCATGCGCTTATTATCCAAGTTCCCATAGTTTACTTTTCCTGTTACTGTTACGTCACAATATCTGAAGCAAAAAATAAAAAAGTCCAAAGAATAATACAAAATGAGCGCCCTCGGGTGTCGAAACTCGTTTCGATTATGGCTTTAGAATCGAGCCTGTCGAACTCCTCGTTTTCAACAGAAGAATGGAAACCATCAAGTGATGCATGGTTAACCTTTAACGATTTTCGACACCAGGGATTATTTTGTGATGTGGTGCTGCGAGTCGAAGATGTCCGATTTCCAGTTCACAGGCTAGTTCTGTGCGCATGTAGCGACTATTTCAGGTATGTATTTTTGCATTATGAGACGCGCTGAATAACTTCACTTTTTTCGGTAACCCTATATAACAGTTCTGTTTTATATTTGTCATTGTGTTTACTTTTTCTGAATACAGGTCTCTTTTTGTTGGGGGATGGAAAAGCAGTGATAAACAAGAAATAGAGATCCCTGGAATCTCCCCAGAAATGATGTCATCGTTACTCAATTTTGCATATACGGGGCAGGTAAAGAAAACCACCACCTCTTATTGCTTATACTTTCCAATATTCGCTCTGACATGTAATGCACGGCCCGAACTAATGGGGTCTCCCATAGTATGTGTACCAGGTTAGGGTAAGCCCATAATTTTATTCCGATTTTCCTTACTTCAGTTCTATTGGGAGTTCGGGGACTGTTTGTGTTAGCCAAGTGAATATACCCCCAACGCCCCCCCCCCCTGCCCTGCGGATTCTTACACTTTAACTAATTATTTAGGCTATTTCTTTACATGTTCTTTACATGAAAAATGAATCAGCTTGATCTAGTAATAATATAATGCCGATATATTTCGTCAGTTAAAATAGCATGTTAATTAATTCCACGTTTCAAGAAACGAGATTTTATATATATATATTTTTCTCATAGTCTGATATTTGCTGATATCCTTTGCCTGATATCCCTTTATCAATAATGTTTAGGTTGTTATCACTGCTCACAATGTTCAAGAATTACTTCCAGCAGCTGACCAGTTTCAAATTATGTTTGTGAAAGAAAAATGTTGTTCTTTTTTAAAACGGCAACTATCTGCAACAAACTGTGTCGGAATTCGAAAATATGCGGAGTAAGTTCCCAACGTTATTTACCAGTTTGTTGAAAAAAAACTTTATGAACAAATTAGGCTGATACGCAGCATTTCTCATTCAGCTTTAGGCAGAATGTACACCTTTCCTTCCTTACTTTTTTTCTATGAACGTTTCACTTCATGTAAAAATGGTGGTAGTGTTCGATGCCTATCTTTTACGATAGAGGTTTAAACTCGTAAAGATTTGCATATATATATATATGTGTGTATATACGACAAAGCGCAAATTTGTCAAATAGATGCCAAAGTTTTACTAATTTTCGATTTCATATTTACAAAGGGAAAATTTTAACTTGATAGCAAGACCGCTTTTGGTTTTTCCCTCGCATGATAACTCAACGATATCAAATGTTTAGCTGGGCACAGCCGGAGAGACGAAAGTCTCAGTACATGCTCAAATGTACGCGGTGCGTTCCTTAGAGTTGCAATCGGTCTAACGAAAGTATCGTTGCTTTAATATGTTTTGTGTTTTAGCAGGTCCGATGAACTTAACAGTTTATTCCAAAGTTATTCATAGTTCAAATAAAATTTCCAAATGGATTTTTGTGTGTCGAAATAAAACAGAGGAGCATAATGACTGTATTCTAAATTTTGCGCTGTTATGTTATTTATCTTATCATGAATGAATGCATATGATTTGTGACAATGATCTGGAGAAGTTACTTTATTTCGCAATTTTAAATTTTTTTTTTCAAAGATGGTTTTTCTGCGCCAAACTTCAAAAAGCTGCAACTGAATATATTTTGAACAATTTCGAAGAAATGTCTAAGAAGAGTCCTGAATATTTATTGTTGTCATATGATGAGGTGTATGCATTGATTTCAGATGATAGGTTAAATGTACGTGTTGAAGAGATTGTGTGTGAAGCTGTTTTCAGGTCAGTTCATGTACTCAGTTCATTTATTATATAGATTGAGTATATTAATCGTTATCTGCTTGGGAAGCATTGAGCATCGTATTTTGACTATTTATTTTTGGACACGTTTAGTGAACATAACGATCGTTTCAAAATTTTGTTGTTATTGTTATTTGTCTCCATCATTTTTAAAAAATCGCTTTTCTCTTCGAATACTGGACCAATTGCTTTGAAATTTTTAGTGGTTAAAGATAAAATTTTTCTCCAGAAGGCTATTACTTTTATTTATTTCTAAATTTCGCATGAAATCTGATATTTCGTCTAAAATTTCGCTGTATTATTTTATCCATGGGAACACTGGCTGTCCGGTTTGATTCTGTAAATTATTTCTACGCGAAACTTTTTGTGGGTATGGGTGGCGTCAAAGGTAAATACTGCTTCGCTCTGGTTAACGTGTCCATATATTTGAGCACAGCTCTCTTGTTTTATTTGTAATTATTTATATCGCAGGTGGATACGAAGTGACAGGCATAATCGGATTCAGTATCTACAACAACTTCTGCAGAGTGTTAGATTGGGGCTTCTGGATCCAGAATACTTCATGACAAAAGTTAAAGGTAGAGTTGAAAACTTTTTAAGAAAACTGAAGGATGTACCAACTGAGCGATACATATTTTTAACACTGATATTAAATTGCATTTGAATTAAAATGCGTCAACCAGTTGAAGCGCCAGAGAGTTTCTGTATAAAAGGCGAAAAGAGTTTTATAAAAATAGTCCAGTCGAAGTGTCCAGGTCCAGGAGTGAAAATATCTTCCTGATAATAACGACGATAGTATTTGACTCGGCTTAAGCGCCATAGTCCTTATTTGAAGAGCAATGGAACGGTTATTTCAAAAATATGTTTCCATAAAAGGCAATGATCTTGTAATGGAGCGCATAAAGGACTGTCGCGTGCTGGTAAAAGAAGCAATGCAGGTTGTGTGTGATTTACATTCTCCGGAATCGGAAATTCGCATGGCAAATTCAAATGCTTACCATCGATTGTTAAGACCGAGGTTACCAAACGAGGTATTGAAACTTAACTTGAAATTATCAGGTAACTATTCAAGAGTGTTATAAATGACCAATTCAATCCAAGACTCTAGTTCTCATAAAGTTTTTTTTTTTTAAGATCTGGGCGAAGCCATCGGGGCTTGGGGGGTGGTTTTGGGGGTCGACCCCCCCCCCCCCCTCTTTTTTTGGAACGTTAAAAAATAAAAGCATCTTCCTGTATCATACATAGCCATTTTTGTAGCTTGAAACGCTTTTTAGACCCTCAAGAGTCAAGACTCATGAAAACACAAGTTTCCTGCGGGCCCGCTAGCTGTTTCGATCTAACTTGGCAAATATTAATGTCAGAATCCCCCCCTTTGCAAATTTCTGGCAACGCCCCTGGTTCTCAGCAAAATTACGTAAATTTTCTTCCATCTACAGCTAACAAAATAATTCCAATTTCATAACATAAAAATTGTTACCCCTTGCTAAACTAAACGTACGTCTGCCTCATTTACAGATACTGCTGGCTGTTGGTGGATGGAGTGGCGGCTGTTCTACTAATGCAATAGAAGCGTACGATCCCAGAGCAGAAACATGGGTGAATATAAGCTCGATGCCAGGTGGTGATAATTACTTGTTTCATGCGACCTGTTTTACCATTCTTTAAAAGTAATAGCTTCTAGGTTTAGTAAATATTTGAAAAGCCATAAAGTATAATACCCAAATAATTGTGAATTTTACCAGTCTGAATATTCAATTTCTAAAACGAAAATTTCCAATACAGTATATTTATACTAACGTTGCGTTATTCGAAAATTTAGGATATCATTTCATGATCGTTTCTTTTATGATAGCGACTTGTGCAATGAATACATTTTTGGCTAATACCACGAAATTAGCCATTGTTTAAGTTAAAACACAAACATCTGAATTAAACGTAAGAGCAGAAAGAAATTGAGCGAAGGTTTTAACGGGAAAAAATAAAATCCGACAGAGCATTTTCCTTCAGTTCGAGTAAAATTCTTGATTATTGAATTGAATATACCTGAAAAAACGTATATCAGAAGTCGAATTGTTTTGAATTCGGTTGTTCTGCTGAGTATTGTTACAGGGCTTGTAGAAGAGCGACCGAGAGCATATCATGGAGTTGCGTATCTCAATAAATGCGTGTACATCATTGGGGGATTCGACGGCGTCAATTATTTCAACACCATGAGGAAATTCAATGTTCAGACTAACGACTGGATTCAAGTATGTAAAATGAAGAAGATATTTCCTGAAACATATTCGCCGGAAGCTTCCGCTATTATTTAATTTATAATATATATTCCTTATTGAATACGAAGTGTATATACAAATCGTTTTGGGACACGAAATGTACCTAAGGATCGTTTTGTTATTATTATGTTGTTGTTGGTATTTTTCTCCGTCCCATTGTTTTGAAAAATCTCTTTTCCTTTCAACTAGTGGTTGTTTCGAAATTTTTAGTATTTAAGGATTGTATTCGTATTTCGCTAGAAGGCTATAACTTTTATTTTTTTAAAAACTTTTTGTTGGCTCGATATGATTCGTTTTTTACTTCGAAATTTTGTGTGATGACCTCATCAAAATTATTTGTAGCGGTTCCACGACTTCGTTTTTTTTTATCGTATCGTACTACGTAGAATACGTAAGGTACTGTCGGGTAAGGTGTAGACTACAGCTTCGATTTGACTTTCGTGGCCATATACTTGAGCATCGCTCTCTGGTTGTTTTTTAATATAGGTATTTATTTGCAGGAACCTTCAATGTTTCACAAAAGATGTTACGTTAGCGTTACAATGATGGGAGGACGCATTTACGCACTAGGTGGAATGGACGGAGAACACAGGTACTATAAGCCTATAGTCAATCTTAAATTAGATGCGTATATGTGACATAAATGTGAAAAAGTAAGTCGCCCGAATCGAATTAAAAGTTTGTTCTGGCAAAAATCGGGATCATCATTATAAAAATAGTAGTAAACTTCGGGAGATTCATAATTCAATTTTCATTGCATATGAAAAAATGAACAAGTTCAGTAACTATTTTTACAGGTTAAACACAGGAGAATCATACGATCCTATCCAACGAGTATGGACGATTTTACCAGATATGAATGAGAGGCGCAGCGATGCTAGCGCGGCTGCTCTCGGCAATAAGGTTTGTAAATGAAGTGAATTTTTGGGCAACCAATAAAATCTTAGGATCAAAACTGACTTTCCGCGATTATATTCTGATCAAAAGTACCGGAAGTATGCAGTATCGATCAATACGTAAGGTTCATAATAGACTAGCAAAACAAGATGCTGCGGACGGAGGGTGGGTCTAAGTTATCTAAATTATGGAAATTTATTCGCGAAAGGGCAAGAATTGATCGTCTAAGTCTAGAAGCAGCATAGTTGTACTTTGTTTCATTTCGGTAAACTTACTACTGTTTAGTCTCACGTGAAAAGTTATGGCATACTGTCTCAGCTGTAAATTATTTTACATATAGCAAAATATTATTTATAAATTAATTTCATAAAACATCGCTAGTTAAAATGATACATGTCGATGGCGACTTGTGCTGAACAAACTTTTTTGCTCCTGAATCAATACACTTTTTGATCCGTATGTGGATCACAAGGATTCTTTAATGAAACATAACAAATTTAAATTAGCGAATCGATTACCATATTTTTGGATTAGAAAAAAAGTTCATCAAAAGCTTTACATATTCATTTTTCTACATGCACCATTGAAGGTTTATATATCTGGCGGTTTCAATGGTCAGGAGTGTTTATTCACAGCGGAATTTTACGATTTGGACAGTTTATCTTGGACTCGCATCACACCTATGCGCAGTAGAAGATCAGGAGTCTCGATTATTTCTCTTCACGGAATGGCGAGTTGTGTGGCTTAGATTTTGTTTCGGATTTAGGTTTCAATAAGTTCGTCAAAACTACATTATAGAAACCTATAATTCGAAGTAAAAACAGAAGTTGAAAAGACATTCGCAAAATATTCACCACAACTACAGGGTGGTCGCTAGAAAAACAAAAAAAATGTCAAACAGCTTTTATTTAACAAAGAATTTTCCAAAGTTTTTTTATAGGCATATGTTATATTACACAGAATATTACAGTAATCAAATAGAACCTAAAAGGTATCGACCTAAAACAACCCAGAACCTAAAAGAAATAAAAACGTACTGAAAAAAGAATTAATAGGCATGCTTTTTAGTCGAGATCTCATCTGACCTTCAAATTTTCTGCTATTCTAGCGACCACCCTGTATATAAGTGATGACGTTATGGCGACGCATATTGGCAAATACAGAAAATTTCTTCATTCAAATGATTTAAAATTTAGTCTCGACTTGCAATACTGGCCAATTCAACTTTCTGGTATTAATAACATTACCTATATTTGAAAGATTTACGCAGTCGGTGGATTTGACGGGATAAATCGGCTGAGAAGTGCAGAAGCCTACTGTCCTGTAACTAATACATGGAGATCGATTGCTACAATGAATAAACCAAGATCCAACTTCGGCATGGATGTAATTGATGATCAAATAATAGCAGTGGGTGGATTTAATGGGCATCAGACATCCGCTGACGTAGAGGTTTATGACGACACTACGAACGAGTGGTAATTTCTCATTCATTGCGATAACAAAATATATTTCAAACAATTGAATCGAACTATTTATATACTTATACTGTACATAATTGCAGAGAAATTGCGGGGTAACAATTTGATTCATAAATAGGAAATTGTACAAAATATATCCAAAATATTCACTATTTATTTTTATATTTTATCGTTCCCTTTGATTTTCATACAATGCTATAGGTACGAGGTACGGGAAATGCACATATTTCGAAGCGCATTGAGTTGCTGCGTAATCAGTGGACTTTCTCATGACGTCATAAAGAAGTTCTGCGTCTCCAGAGAATTGAATAACGTTTCCAGAGATGGCGGGGCACGTCGTGCAATTGCTCTTTCTACGACAAATTTTGAAGTCCAGGCTGCAGCAGCCCCTTTAGCACCGCACATGGGCGCTGAAGAGGATATTTCCGACGAATTACAATCAGACGAAAACTCAGACGAAATTATGGAATAAATAATGTTTTCTTACATAATTTTTAAACGAATAGGATTTTTTTATAATTTATATTTATAATTATTTACATTAACATAAGTTCAATTGTATTATATGATGGCATGTCTTTTATAGTGTGATATACAATAAGTGAAAGTGTGTGTTTACCAGTGTAATCTATAAATCTAGAAAGTAAAGAAAAAATTAGGAGCTACAGTGTTAGGCACTTGGGTGATCATTACGACATGCTTGCTTAGCTGCGTCTACGTCCACAGAATCAATTTCTGCAAAATACTCGCTCAATGTGTAGATGGGGCCTGTGCCTTTTTTGATCTTTGAAATCCCACTTAAGTTATGTTATATTACCGAGAAAACAATTTCACTCCGTGGCTTCTCTTCGTGGCGAGTTCCATGGCCTGCAAACAAAAATTATACTTGATTTCTGCTATGTGATTTTAAGAATAATAAGATATATATATTATACTTTTGGGACTTTCTCGGGTGTACCTCATATTTTACCGACCCGAATGCCAATTTGTACAATCAGAGGAAAGGAATGTCGAACCTAAAAATACTTACGCAAAGAAGAATATATACAGTAGAAAAACCCCGATTAATATGAAAATAACTCCCGCTGCTACCACCATGCTGAACACCATCGGCGACTTTATTGCTTGCATAGCTGATTGGTTCGCTGCTGAAGGGTCGGTTGTATCACCTGTGGGACGTAACACAATGTAGATTGAAAAAAAAATCTGTACACCGTACACTGTACAGCATTGGCTTATCGCGACTAACTCACTTATGCATTCTGGTACAACGTGAGTGAATTCACCGCTCTCTTGGCAGGTAATTATGTTAGGTCCTGTCAATACAAATCCTTTTCCACAGTAAAATTCAAGAGAAACACCAAAAGGTACCAATCCCTTGCTTGAATCGTCTGGGTTACGACATCCTTTCACTGGAAATTTGAAATATAGAAATTCAAATTAAATCATTTCAAGCACGTAGAATGCAGGTGAAATTGTGTAGCTTTAAAGAAGAACTGTATCATCTTTCGTTGTCAGTTGTGAAAGATAGAAATTTTGATTGTAACAATTCAAAGCAAAAAGTCGCATTACAATATTATTGAACATTTGCAGTTCAACTCACATCTCGGCGGTCTCCATTTTGATTCTGCAGATGCTATTCGATGCACCACAGTTGCAGCTTCGTTCAGAGTATGATTTTTGGGGAAATTGTGGGTAAAATAATTTGGTTTTCTCGGCGGTGTGCGAATCGTGCTCAGCGTTAAGAATACGCTCGCTACCGCACCTCTGATTACCCTGCGTAGGTTCGGTTCCACCAACCAAGTCCATGTATCTGAAACAAATAACTGGCTAAATAACTAATTCCATACCCGACATGGATTGGTAACTGGACGAGAAGCCGTGGTTTGCCATATGATTAAACCGTTTTAAAGACTTTCCTCCCTCTCCCCTGTGAGATTCGTTTTCCCGTGGGCGATGACGGGATCATAATTGAAAATTATGCACATTGTGTCGGTTCCACGGCCGCGTTCGTTGCGATCAGATGGATAGTCGAAGTTGGGAAGACTACGTACCGGTACTATAAAAGATTTTATACGCGTGGTACTTCGTTTGGGCTTTCGTATTTGACCATTGCTCTCTTGTATCTATTTTGATAAAGTAAACGAAATATTTGACTCACAAACCACTTCTTGACAGGTGTCGCCCGACCAACCCAAATTACAAGCACAAATGAATCCAGTCGAATTTGCTTTCAAACTGGAACTTTTGTGGCAGGTACCGCCATTTTTACATGGGTCGCCTTCACATGGATTAGAAATTTCTGTAATGAACAAAAAATATGATTTTACAGTTTTCAAATTAGTATTAAAGTATAGACATTGTCTGCTCAATAGGGTGATAGGTAACCTGTGAGTGCGCACTTTTACTCACATATGCAGCGGACATTTGTGTGACTGATATAAATACAACACGTCGCTCCGAATTGATCTCGAACCAAACGCTTTTTTTAAGTCTGTGGGCAATATCATTATTTGCGCGGAATTTAAAAGACAAATTTCAATTGCTCCATCTTGCACGTGAATAAAAATTTGAATAGCTCTTCACTACAGGATTTTTGTGCGTTTACAAGGCATTGTTGGTATTTGTTTGTTATGGGTAAAAGATTAGAACACACAATAATAAGGATAAACGCTCATTTTAATGCATTGGTCTTTACAACCTGCGGTAAACATTTTTTTGTAATTCGTTTTGAATCGACAAAGTATTTCGATTGAAATTTGTATCGTTGATGATTTGTCTAAGCCCATGCTCTACAACTTTTTATCGATTGAATTGAGCAGTGTACTTTTAGATGTTGCTTCTTTTAGCGTCTTCTGAAAGTAGCCTGGAATGGTCAGTGTTCTTGGTTAACTAATACCATTGTTTACTTTTGATATTTAAAGGAAGTTCCAGTAATAACAAGCATGACATTACAACTTACCACAAAATAATCCTGAAAATCCAGTGTCACATTTACAAAGGAACTTATTTTCCTCGTCAATACATTTCCCTCCGTTTTTGCATGGAGCACTATCACACTCATTTATGTCTAAACGTAATGAAAAACACACTAACTTTCATAGAAAAATATATAAACATTTATGTTCAATTCACAATATGATTAGGGCCGGATTAAGACGATGGAAGGCCATGAAACCCCTCTATAATAATGACGTCATTTGGCAAACGGAATCAAGTATGACGCCGTAATAGGCCCACCACAATTATGACGCCATTAATATATTTTTTCAATTAATTTTAATTACTCGATTTTGTTAAGGTAGAGCTTTTCAAATTTAAACAAATTTATTTGCTTGGCCGTGATTACTTTTTAAACGGTAAACATTTGGAACAAGAATTATTAACCTGATGTAAAAAAAATTAAACAATTATCAGTTTTATAAAATTTAAATCAGTTATATTCTGGAGAAAACTGTAAAATTTAAAAATAAATGATAGTCCAAAATTGATTGTTGGTGCCCATAAGCTTCAGCCTACTTTGCCTAAATGTAAATCCGACCCTGATTATGATTTTTGCGGTATTCGGTGGAAGATACCGGGCCGGATCATTGCATACATATGTTGATCAATAGCCATCAATATAGTAAGTAGTACACATGGGAAACGCATATTGATCAGATATTCTATATATCCAACCATATGATTCTCGTAATCATGAGATTGATATATTAAATATTTTACCACGTTGGTTTTATGCAAAATATTTTGTATCACGGTATCCCGTTGCGTTAGTTTTCTTACATTATTAACATGACATTTTTTCAGGGCGCTCCCGTAGTATGTGAACCAAGATGGCGGACACCGGAACGAGGTATGTGTACCAGGTTGGGGTTAGGACATAATTTTATTCCAATTTTTTTTATATTAGTTCTATTACCAGTTCGAGGACTAGCCAAGTGAGTCCCGTAGTATTTGTACCTGTAATTATGGCCTAACCCTAACCTGGTACACATACTACGTCTCGGTGTCCGCCATCTTGGTTCACATACTACATGAGTACCTTTTTCAGTGTCTTTTACGTCTTTTGTTTACATAAAATCATTTGTGAAGACATTTTATTAAAATATACCAATTTCACAGTCGTCTCCAGTAAATCCTGGGTTGCATTCTTTTCTACATAAATAACTGTTGACTTTATCAATGCACTCAAGATCTTCTGAACATGGATTTGATGCACATTCATTCACATCTATGAAACAGAAAAGATACAAGAAAAAATACGAAATGGTAATAAAACTTGTAAATAATATCGCAATAAAAAGTTTGAATATACACACAATGGCGTGAAGCGCCAAACATTATGCACAATAAATATGAATTTTCATAGTTACATTACTACAATTATAGCAACAAAGAAAAGAAAATTACTAGCAAAAGAGTGAGATCTCATGGTGCGGTTTTCGATGCAACATATAAACATTAAAATTTTAATTAAGGAGACGCTTATGGTACCGATATGATGTGGTACCTTTATCGCAGTTTTCTCCCGTCCATCCAGCAGCACAAGTACAAGTGTAACTTTCGTGCCACGCTATACATGTGCCAGCGTTTTTGCATGGGTTTGGAATACAAACGTTTTCTCCTGTATATATTATACATTACATCGATGAATTTATATAAAATAAAATATAGAAACGCTACTCACTTAAAATAATAGCTTACGACCCTATTGAATAGAGTGAAAGAATGGAGAATTTTTTACATGAATTCTTTTAATTGAAAATTTATAGACTGACCTTATGTTATAAATATATACATTTAAACTAATGCTTCTTAGTATAAAAGTCGTTTCATATTAAAAATATATGATAAAAAACACGACTAATTTATTGGATCTACTACTATCTAGTGAGCATCTAATCTGTATCTGTTCTCTACAAATTTCTCGACAAAATGACTGAAATTTTCTAATGAAATATACTAATTATAATAATGATAATACGCTAAATGCCTTCTAAAGCAAAAGAAAAATGCCATTATCCAAAAACTAAACAAAATTTTTCATTTCTTTTTTCGTATCACATCAAAATACAAAAATATTATTGCTCGTGTAACGACATATGACATAGATTGATGTCTCTTTACGCAAGATTTTTTATGACTATATTAGATATTAAGCATTTTTTTCAGTTTCATGTGCATTGAACATGTGCACATGAAAATAATTTGTATATCAAGACTTGGACAAACCACAATCATTTGAAACACTTCCAACGCGGAAAAATTACGTGCCATGGCCAAACAATTTTCAAAGGTATGTCTTATGGAAAAGGCTATCATTAGTTCATAATTATTTTTTAAATTTTGATCTGATTTTGCATTATTTGTCGCACAGTTTGGAAAAGTCCAGTATTTCAGTGTTTCATTAGTTTGGAAACATGAATAAAAATATTTTTTTAAATACGTAGTACTTTGGTTTGTTAATGCCAATTTATATATATATATATCATATTATATATGACAAAAATAAACGAACCATAGAGATAAAATTTAGATATAAGCTTAATTCATTCACACAACAAAAACAGACTATACTACTACTAATATAAAATCTGCTCTAACCTTTGTCTTCGAATACTAGAAGTTATTCTACGAAAACAGATGAACTATTGCTACTACTATTATTTTATATTCTGGCCTTCCTCGCAGAAATCTCCACTAAATCCATCTTGACAAATACAAAACACGGTTCCGTCTCCCATATCAACGCACTCTGCTTCATTCAAGCACGGTGCAGACGAACAAGGATCGTTTGGATCAAAATCTAGAAATTTGTTTGTGTCCTCATAACGGAAATGAAAAAATAATTGAGAATTCAGTTACTCTGAGAAACGACTTATATCACTAGAGGTGTCATCGTGGCTTTAGACTTTAGAGGCAACATCCTTGACACTTCCAGGATATCCGCGATTGTCATCAATCGAAGGAGGAGAATGCGGGTATGAAATGAATAAAGAAGTTCGAATTGTGCACTTATTCATATATGAAACTTAACGTGAAACATTTCACGTGCGTTTTTTTAAACATTAAATGCATAGCCGAAAAAGGTTAATAGTGAGGGCCGTTTGCACAAAAACATTTACAATAAAATAAAAGATATTAGTGAAAGAGAAACAAAAACACCGTGCCTTCTGCAAAATACAATTCATTACCCATCATTTATATAATAATATAAATACCAACCTTGCTTTTCTGGTTCCTTAACTTTCGATTCACAAGTTTTCCCTTCCCATCCGTCATCACACTTGCATTTAAAATCCTCCTTTTTCTCAGTGCACGATCCGCCGTTTCTGCATGGATTTGGAACGCAATACTTTTTCTTTTCTAAAATTGATTTGATATTATGTGTACATGAAGAGTGGGGTGTATAAACAGTTATTATCAAGTGTTAATCGCAACCTCGTGAAAATTCGTGTAGAATTGTTCTGCGAATTTCATGGTCGTGAATTTTCAAATTGAGAGTACTGTTTCTATAACTTGTGAACAAGCGTTAGTGGACCAGGATCGTGAAATACAAACTTAGGTGCTGATGAAATCATATTATAATACAAAATTGTCAAGGTAAAGAATGTTTCACCTATGAGTAGCTGAAGAGATATTTATACCTGATGCATAAGTCTTCATAATATAACACAAATGACCTAGGACCTAGACCTAAGGGATCGCTTAAGTGTTATTCAATTTTTGAGAGAGTCAATCATCAAATAACATTTTCCGAAGGTAAGAGTTTTGACTCAATGTTAAAATATTTTTCGGGACTGAAAATAGAACAACGAATACTATCGTATAATAGTAGTACTTTGTAGCTGAAATTTTTGAAGCCGAATTTTCTCAACAACATCTCACGCCCACGATATTTTATAATTGTATTCGACAGTAAAGAGTGATTGCCACATTTATTCCCTATGATCACCTGGTTTTGGTTTAGGAGTTGGTTTCGGTGTTGGAGCAGATTCTTCCTTCTTATCACATGTCTTCCCACTCCATGGAGATTTACAAGAGCATTCGAAATCATTCAGTTTGTCTTTACAAGCTCCACCATTTTTGCATGGATTTGGAGAACAATCGTCAATATCTTAACATAATTGGAATAGGTATGTTATACTTGCAACGGAGATGGAGAGAATTCACGACTCACCAAAATTCCATAAAGTATTACCGATGCTGTAATGCAATTATAATAACTTTCTCCGTAACTAGTGTATTAAAGAATACTTACACTCGAATGACAAGTCAACCCCTTTGGTTAGGCCACTAAAAATGTGAGTAGTCATTCATTTGCACTTACAATTGTCTGCTTATAACCCACCAGGCAAAAACAAACTTGCTTATGTGTTGCTTTAAAAGCAGTTCTTACTTGTCGAGCAAATTTCACCAGACCAACCCGGTTTACAATTGCAAATGAATTTATTGACTTCGTCAGTGCACTCGTCGTCGTTTTTACATGGATTTGATGCACATTCATCGATATCTAAATAAAGGGATTAAACCTTTCTTATTTTTAAGTGTTGTTTGCAATAAGCTGAGCTAGAACAAAATCGCGACTGCGTGCCAATACTCTGCATTGCATAGCATAATATCATCTAATTGCATTGATGCACAGTGTATCTAATTCTTTTTTTGAATAATCTTCCAAACTACTCTAAAATAACGAATTCATAACGAAAAGCAAAGTGTGATCTAGCTATCTTATTTCCTGTAACGTGAGCTACTACGCAGCATCAGCAACGAGGCCAACTAGCAAGCTTTGGATCTTCTGTAGCATCAGGGTATTCCAACCAATCTTTTTATACGGCTTCGCTATGGATTATATAATGATATAGCTAATAGCTATCCTATTTCTTGTAACGTAAGCTACTACGCAGCATCAGCAAGGAGGCAAACTAGCAAGCCCTGCATCTTCTGTATAGCATCAGGGTATTCAACCTATCTTTTCATACGATTCCAAATTGATAATGAGGTGATTTGTCACCAGTACTACGCAGAAAAGAAATTGAAGAAGAGATACAAGTGTTCGACGCACATGCATGCTATTTCACCTCACATTAGCAACTCCGGAGAATAATACAAATCTGTCCAATCTCATATCAAGTTTTTTTTGGAAACCCGCCTTCAGGATACAGCAAATGTCCAACCACACATGAGATAAGCATCAAACTGTCGTTGGTGTTATGCAGATCTTTTCCGCAAAAATGCTTGAAGGTTTTCGTGAGGAAAATTCAAGCTACTAGTCCTACTACTGAGCAGTGAGCAACGTGGACTAAAGCAAAAACTGCAAGCTGCATGTGGCTAATTATAGCTTACTTGTCGAGCAAACCTCGCCAGACCAACCAGATTCACACTCGCATGAAAATTTGTTGACTTCATCGGTGCATACACCACCGTTCATACACGGGTTGGATGCACATTCATCGATATCTTAAAATAGATAACGTTACAAATATCTACATACAGTTAGATCCGACTGTATCTCCAATGCTTTCTAGACAGCAAAGGAGACACATAAGGCTTTTCTGCTAAAAATACAATAATAGTATTAGTAGTGCCTCATATATTAACTTACAGTTTTAAATAAAGTATTCTTTGCTAGTCCCATATTATTTAGACTATGAAATACCAGATATCGACAATGACATTAGCCAAGTTGATGTTTTTTGCTTACACTGGTCACTGATTTGTTGGCAGAATCGTTTGTTTTGGAATGTAAATCCACACGAATAAATCGGGCCTCATTCATTTTCGAAAATTCACTTCTATAAACTTGAGTAAAAAGTTGAAATCATCCGCAAAATTTTCTATAAAAGTGATGGTTTTATTCAGCGCAAACGACCCAAATACCTTGCAGTTATATGCCTCGTGTTAACAAATTGACTTCATGTACCCTACCCACATTCAATATTATTTGCCCAAAGATCGAGAAATACTTTAGGGTAATGGAATAAATATATATAAATAATTTAAAAGTGGGTATAAAAAGTACGTTGCTACCAAAACTATAGGACGATTGTCTAACTCGCCTACGTCCTATCACTACGCAACGTCAGCAAAGAGGCAAACTAGTAAGCTTTGTCATCTGGCGAAGGCCCATCGTATATCCGATTCATGCAGTCTTCCGTCGTATGTTTTTATAACATGTGATGTTGGTGACCGTACATTTGAACCCAAGTACATTTGAACCCATGTGTATATCCGCGGGTTCAATCTATATGCAGGTGCTAAAACCCATGGGTTAGGTTAGTATGGGTTCAAATATCCGTAAATCAAAAAAATTGTCTGTAGGTGCAATAGTATACAGATGCAATCGCCGTGGGTTCAAATGTACGTGGGTTCAAATGTAATGGAACCGATGATGTTATATAGCCGATACTATACTATGCTGAGAAGAAACTGAAGAGTAAGTGCGGTTGTTAGCCAACCATGTATGAATACGTTTATCTCGCATCAAGAAATTCACAGGATACCAAACACGCTCATCATCCAGCTTTTTATAATAAAATCTGCCCGGCAATATTTAAACAAATAAAAGTTGTAGTTGATAATCATTGGAGTTGCCATCTCTGAGAGATTGGAAAGGTTTACAAGAAAAGTTCAAAGAACTACCTTGCAAGATCGACTAAAGCAAGCAAAATTGGAATCTCGATCTTACTTGTCGAGCAAACATCGCCAGACCAACCAGATTTACATTCGCATGAAAATTTGTCAACTTCATCGGTGCATACACCACCGTTCATACACGGGTCGGATGCACATTCATCTATATCTAAAAGTACACAACTGCTTATTTAAACACCGATTTTCGTTTGTTAAAGTTGGCATCGGTACATCAGAATACCCCAGGTGTACCACATCCCTACCAAGTTAATAGATTCTGTCATTGTATAGAAAAAAGTTCGTAAAATAAAATGCATATAACGACCATAATATGGATACCTAACCGATATATATATATCCAATATTCATATATAAGCGGTCAGCGTCAAATGTACTTTTATAAGATATCTGCTCTTACACCAATGAGTTTACTATGAGTCGTTATTGAACACGAAATGGGCCTATAGATAGGCTTACCATATATTTGGGGCAAAAATACGGGACAGTGCAGATTTGGCAAGCCAAACATACCGAGGTTTGTTACCGAGACTCAGTAGAATCCTAACACTTTTCATACCGTTGTGGGCAGATAACGGGCATCAAAATTAGCTGTGAATCTTATTAAAATATACATTATTGGTCTTTGCTCTAAATAATGAAAGCCTACTTCAACTCATTAGAAAACTTGCACTATGTTTTGTGTATTTTCAATGATTCAGCGACAGTACAGTTAGGTGTTAAATGAACGTTTGGTTCATACTTCATATCATAACTATGATATAATTATTTTTTTCTCTCTATCTAATCTAGTTGAGTGAGTTGCAAACCAGCTGCCTCCGTTAAAAAAATTTGTATTAATATCAAATAAAAATAGATATTTATGACTGTCATAGTGCATAACCGGGACATTTAGGTCTACCGGTCGGGAAGGCGGAACAACTTGCTAAAATCGGAAATCATCTATAGATCGTTTTGGTATTATGTTGCTGTTGTCAGAATTCTTGTTATTGCTGGACCAATTGCATTAAAATTTTCAGTGGTTGAAGATTATTGTTGTCGCTAGAAGGGTATTACTTTGATTTATCTTGAAAATATTTGTGGATCATATGGGATTCGTTTTTTTGTGTGTAATGACGTCATCAAATTCAAAAATTGCGCACCTTGACATTCTATCAAAACGTATTCATCCGATGAACTAATTTTTATTTCGATGTTAGTGGGAAAATAAATGGAATAAATGTGGTTGATTGAAACGGTTGCCATGAGGCTATTACTTTTTTTATTCAAATTTCTTCGGAGTCATATGGGACACGATATTTCATCCATTATGCCTTTTCGTTTTGTTAAGGGAACTCTGTGCTTAAGGCTTTGTCGGTACTGGCACCGTTATCACGAATTCGTTATCATGTGATTAATAAAGATGGGGAATTGTCGACAGTCAAGTTATAATAAATAATTCATAATGGTTAACTGTACTTACTAGTATCACACGAATCACCAGTCCACCCAGCCTTACAATTGCATGTAAACGTATTTGGTCCATCAGTACATTCACCGCCATTTTTGCACGGATTGGGTGAGCAGTCATCAATATCTGAATATTCGTAACGAATTTAGAGTGGGGCTAGGCGGTAATAAATAAACGGAAACAAAACGGAACATACCCGTATCACATGTAACACCAGTCCATCCTGCTGTACATTGACAAGTGAATTTGTCCTCGCCGTCAACACAAGATCCGCCATTTAAGCACGGATCAGATTCACACTCATTGACATCTATTTCTAGCATTCAAAAATATTTCAGTTATTAGTTTTAGTCCAGACTATTGTACATTGTTAGACTAATTAATTAATCAAAAAATTACTGGGATACATATGAGGTTGTTGGTGGTTTTGAATTGATTTCATTAAAAGATCATATGCTCACAGTAGCCTACGTATAGAATATATGTATTCATTTCTCAGTAGACTACCACACGCTCACCAAATGCAATGTAGATATATCTTATACTAATGCATATCAAACTATATTGAAGTAGAACACATTATGTACTGTGTACAATATATTTTCCACAAACAATTCTTTAATGACCACATATCATATATATATATATCATATATATAAAAAATGTACAATATCAATTACTTTTGTCACATGTATCTCCTTCCCAGCCACCAAGACAGTTACATTTGAACTTGTTTAATAAATTTTCACAGCTGCCCCCATTCTGGCAAGGATTCGATGAACATTCATCAATATCTGATATTAATGAAAATAAGTAAAAGTCACACAAGATTAAAAAGCTGCAAGTTTATTTGTCGCTCACATTCACTCTCTTCGGGATTAGGAAATAAAAGGGAGAAGGTGCGAATTCCGAGTCGCTTTTTATTCTACATTCTGTTATCCAGCAAAACGCAAACTTTTGATAAAAAAATTGGTAATCACATTGACGAAAATACCTTGTTCGCAATTTGTTCCTTCCCAGCCCTCAACACATTGACATCGGTAATTATCGCCATCATTTGTGCATGTCGCCTCATTTTGACACGGATTAGACTCGCAAGGTTCGGCCTTTGGTTCAGGTTTTTCTATAAAAAGAAACACGGATGGTAAAATGTCTATAAACTTTCACTAGATTTCACTCTACGCTATCCAGTAGGTTCTTTTTTCAAAATCAAAACCTTTGGGTTTGTGCCTAGATTCGAGAACTTTTTATCCTGAACATCATCATTACATGTTGGAAATGAGTCGATTTTTCTCTACGTACATTTATGAAGAGTTTCTTTCGCCAATTTCTAATCTAAATTTAATGGAACATGGGAGCTCAAAACGCCTTTTATTATGCATTCAATATAAAAGGGCGCCTTCAATTAAAAAACAGACCAATCACGAATTCATAATTCAAATACTAGAATATTATTCATTTATCAATTTAATATCAAAAGTACATATAGATTGCCATAATATATATCATTCAAATTGACATAACTATTATAGTACCTGGTGACACAGCAAATAGAAATCACTAGTTTCCAGGTAGCATTTTGTAAGTCAAACGCGTTTAACAAAGTTTTTATTCAATCAGGCAAAGTTTTGAATAAATAAAGTATCGTAGATCTATATTACTTGTATAGTAAAGATTTCATTATGTATTTGCTGCAAAAATAAACAATAATGGCAACAGTATGATGTATTCATCGAAATGCTGAAGCCAGCGAGATCAAAATGATCTCTTCAAACATTATATTTGGCTTATCTTCAGTTATGTAGCGGCTGGTGAAAAGTGAAAAAAACTTTTCTGGATATTTACTTTTTGAACAGATCAAAGGATACGCATCGGCATATTGGAATAGCCAATCGAGGATTGTATTTCTTTTGAAAAAATAAACTCAAACAATATTTGATGTTTGAAACTTTGCAAACAATGTTAACAAGTTCGATGTTCGGATTCAAACCCATGTGTAATTATTAAACGTTTATTAGGCACAATATGACTGGTATGTGGTTGTCCAATCTAATTTGAAGTTTGGGGTAAATAATAAACAGAGTACATGCCTATCTTGATTTCACAGTCCTTTCCGGTATATTCTGCGAGACAAGTACATTTGTATCCATATCCATACCGCACGTTATTACACTTTCCACCATTCTTGCACGGATTTGATCGGCAAGCATCGGGTGTTGGAAGAACATTTCGCATTACTAAAAAATGACAAAAAATAGCAGTTTTTTGGTACAAAGTTGATATTGCTTCAAATCCAATAATACACAGGATTATTTACTGAGACTAATTTTACAAGCCAAAAGATTTATTTTGTTCCTTTTCTCAATTACTGCTGAAAATCAGTATATTTCCAGAAAGTTTCCAGATTCCAGCTGTGTGCGATATATAATATAGCTGGCTAGTATGAAATAAGAAACACGGAGTAACAAGTGGTAAATGCATGTGTCGTTGCGTTTGACAGTTTTTCTAAATTAATTTCGAAGAAGTTTATATTTAACATCTCGCCTTGATACATGATAAAAAATCCTCGAAAATTGTTCTTTTCATCTGTTTTGAATGTCATCTTCACGGGACCAGAGCCATATGCGGGACCAGGAGTCTGTAATCCGCAATAGGTATCTTCCTCTTCTTTGTTAGAAAACAATATTTTAACAAAATCTTTATCGCAAGTTTTCCCGTCTCCTTCAAGTTTAAAGTCTCGGAATCGGAACTGAATTTTTCAAAACATATTGAAATTCAGAAAACGCCATTGGATAAAGTATATTTCAATTGTGTGTCAAATAATAGAGTGGAGCTGTAAGAATTTTATCTATTTCCGGGGGAGAATTTGTTCGAGCTAGGAACTAGAGCAGTGGTTGACAAACTTCATGTACTTGCGGGCCAAATATCAACTTTTTTGGTAGCACGCGGGTCGCATAATTCCGCCTTCAAAGAATCGCCACATTGAACTTCAAATTATGGCGCATTCGCACATTCTATTGCTGCGGTAAAAGCCTGCCACAATGAGTTGTGTATGTGGCGTTTTTTGATATAATATCCAACAATACATTGTTTTTGTTTACTTATTATCAATGTGAAGGATGATGTGTTTATGGCAAAATCCCGTAACTGCGATGCTGACAGGGCATTTTGTTATAACTTCAAAGTGTAATGCGTTCAAGATAAAGCTGCTCCCAGCAATAGGAGCTTCCGAACGTGCAGATTACACGTTTTGTACTGTCCCACAGATGAGCTGTGGCGCAATTTCAGGGTCTCGGGGTCAAATTTTCAACACGTTTCGTAACGAGCTTAACATTAAATCCCTTAATATCTGCAATGCAGACTGGGCATATCGAGCAAACTGGTTTTGAAATGTGCAAGGAAGAAAAATATTTTCCGCCCGAGCACTTTGGAATGTTCGACCCTCGTCGCGAACTTCCCTCCGTTTCCCAGACAATTTTGCATTTTAAAAATCGAAATTAACTCGAATAACATACACAAGCGCCGTACACCAGCACTTGTTACCACATAAATTTGTGTAGAGACAATAATAAATTTAGGATTATTTTTTGTTTTATGTATAAAATGTTGGGTCGTTCGAGGGCCGCAATAAATTAGCTCACGAGTCGCATTTGGCCCGCGGGCCGCAGTTAGACGACCCCTGAACTTGAGATTCGATTTTAATACGATTCAAATCACCAAACAGTCGTGTTTTGCTCACTGACTCTTTTATTTTTGCGAAAATTCACAGTTCTGAAACGTTGCGGGTGAAGTACCAGATATTTTTGATAACGTGCTATATGGCCGATATAAATCTTTAAACATATGCATTAACTGTCAATCAAATGTATTTACAAATGTATCCAATCAACTTGCATAAACTGCAGGGAACTCAATAATTTGAATCTTATAGCATTTGGCATAATTTCTTTCACGGTTCTCTCGATTTGATTTACGTTTCCAAAATTTTCCTCTGTACGTATTTAAATCTAGCTAAATTATTTGACGTTTTTTGACGCCATCTGCTGCTGAACTCAGCATTTATGGTGTCGCTGACACGATGGCTTGATTTTCTTTCGCGGCTCCTCGTTAATTGCAGTTGAAACATTGTGTGTCTGTTTTTTTTTCTTTTGCCTTGGTTTTGTATTGTTTGTGTGTACAATGTTTCATGCACGACGAAAATAAATTATCTGAATATGGTTCATGAATTTAGCTTCCCGTCATTGTCATTCGCTCGCATGTTTGCTGCTACGCTCCCCGAACATGCAGCTATATCCATTGTATGATGTCACATCACATCAAAACATCTTGAATCACAGTAATTGAATGTAGTCTATATATTTTCGTCATTAGTTAGAGTCTCGAAAATGACCATTTATCATAAACTAAATCAACGTGACCACATTTTACTAGCGAGTAGATCAGTGGAGCTATGTTAGTAACATTAGCTAGTTTTTGTGATCCACCACCTCATCAAAATCCTTGACAAACATGCTGAGCTCAAGTCATTAAAACAATATTTTATACATTTTCAACCTCATTGAAGTAATTTGGTTTTTAATCGCCAATTACAGTGAAAGTCCATGAAAAATATAAAGTTTTCTTTTGATTGTGAACTTGTTTTAATTAAGTCAATACGAATATTCCTAACACTTGGAACAGCCAAAATATGGTTTCTGACAGGACGGGAAACGAAAGTAAAACCTCGAATAAACATTCGGATAACTAAATGTTGGTATACTCACGTTTATACGGTCTGTTGGACCAAAATGAAAAGTCCACACACATACTAAGTTACTGGCGTATTGTGCTGATCTCATGTAATCTGGAGAAAACAGTCTTTGGAATCCTCGAGGATTTCTTCGATCCAAGTTTCTGACTGATATGTCACCACCACATGCTTGGCTTGTACACACGTCTACAAAAACACGCAAGTTAAATAGCCTGGACTTCTTTTGACGATTTTCGTAATGATTTGTTTTTCCAAATAATTAGATATGCAGTATTTTTGCTCTGGACAATTGCGACCAAATTAGCTTGCTATTTTAAACCATTGACCTAAATTTATTGATATAAATTTAACAAGTTTGTGGCCAGAGAATCGTAATGCGACGATGAGAATGATGATAAGCGGTAGGCCTACAAAGATTATCACATTGCCTGTATTAAAAAGAATACACTTAAAAATCAATACCGAGTAAGTAGCCTTTTCGTCCAAACTCACAATTTTTGGGTATGAGCTTATGCAGACACGTTTTTGTTATAAACCGACAGCAATTTTAAAAACATGCACATGAAAAATACGAAAAAAAACTTACCAAAGTTGATGAAAAACACAGCAATGAAGCATAAACATGATATTTCATTCATGGCACAAAATTAATCAAATAAATGAAATAGGACTCAAAACAGGTATCAGACAATTGCAGCACATTGGATACATTTACATATTGTACTGCAATGTAAGTAAACTTGATTAAATATAATAACATAAAGTTTTTACAATCTGAGTGTTCTGATATGCTACTCATTAAAAAGTAAAGTGTAAAATAAAGTTAAAGTTTATCCATTTTACCCAATCCAGTTTTGACTCAGATGATATATACTATATATATAGGCCTACAGTATATATTAGACGGATAGCTGTTTGTTCAGAATTAAATTTTCAAACGATAATAAGAAATATCCGATTCATACGGTATGTTAAATATAGTTAAAGTTAAAGCTAGATTCCAGCAATCGAGGGCATGGACCCCGCCTAACAACATTGATTTAAAATATCATCAAATCGCATTCGTCAGTAATAAAATTTGTACAGACGGCGTTTGACATATTTCAATGGTACTTCACTAGCGAAAGTATTTATTTATTACATTTTCGTAGAAAAACCTACTTTCAGCCGCTGTGTAAATATAGACTGTCACAGCCAATGGTACAATTACATAACGTCACGCTAATAACCGAATTGCGTAAGTCATTTTTAGCAGTTTTGGGAAAAACGTAAAAAACTTGTATTGTTATGCCATTTAGAGTCAATAATTTACCATGGTTCAATTTTTTGATCGTAACCGGATTTAAGTTAATTTGTATGACGCAGTTATGTGACGTCATAATGGCGCACTGTGACTTAGGCAGAAATGTGTCTATGGCTTGGGGACATACGCAATTTTGCAACTTGACTATATGCACCAGTCCTGAAAACCAAAGAATCCTAAAACGAATGTAATTCTCGGTATCTACGATGTCTAATCCCCAAAGTAGCTAATCTGTTTCAACTACATTATTTTTCATGTTCAAAAATATATATTTTATCAATATAACACGCTCTACACACCCGCCCGAAATAAGACTAATATTAAATATAAAGAATAAAACAGCAATGTACCCTTATACAAGAGCCAACCAAGGGGAATTGGACTCAGACAGTGAATATCACAAGTGCGCGCCTTCCTATACTGAAGTATAAATTCAAATTTATAAGCGCTAAGCTAGAATCTGAGATGCAAAAACTCGAAAATCCTTCGCAGAGGTTATTTGCCTTTGTGACATCACAATAGTCCTGTGGTAACACTGATAATTCATTATGACGACACAATTGCACAAATGTGCATGTCATACAAAATCTCCATTTTTATGGGTTTCGGAATTCTTAAAATAAAATTTGAGTTAACAGACAGGTGCGCAGCATTACACAAATACCTGTTTTATAAAAAACTCAAAACCTCCAAATATGACTTACGCAATTCGGTTATTAGCCTGACGATATGTAGGATGGAATATCTATCACGTACATGGAAAAGTATGAATAAATATCTAACTCGCCGTTCGCCGGATTTTCAGACAAGTGCGGTCATTAATGCTGCTCGCCAAACGTTGATATTGTCGCAGGATACAAAAGACCATTCACAAAACTACGTTGGTATCCTAGCAATTTTTGTTTCCTGAAATCCTGAACGAACCGCCTGAAATGCCACCTCTTGGATTTGTCACGGAATAGACATATATATATATAACTTCTGTGACTAGAAATGCGCCAATGAAAGTTAGTTTTCCGTACCCGATTCCGGTACTTGTCAATATTCGGTCTATAAGTGCATACTCTTACGAATCATTGACGTATATATATGTTTTATTTATCTCTTTATTTATATCGCCTTGAAAATAGTCATTTCAGAGTCACTGAGTTTCCGTGTGGTTTTGGCAGACAAACATACATGGAAACAATCCCCTAAGTCAGTGGTTCGCAAAAATTTTGTCTCTCACGGAGCACCTTGCAAAAAACAAATTTATTTGGAGCACTTGGAGCATTTAAATAACATTTGACACCTCAATGGAAAGCATTTCAAGCTCGAATTACTACACTACATCAACTTCTTTATTTAAACATTTCAAGTTCGAAAAATGAGCAGTCACGTTAGGTTTACAGATTTCTATTTGGGGATTCTTATTCACACATGAATGAAAATCATTGGAGTGGAAAAGTGTGACCAATCAGATTAACCGAGGGAATAAAAAATTCCACTGTTAGCAATTATTGGTATAACCTGCAAGAATAAGCTTATTAAAGTTTTATCCATGAATTTTTTTTATGTCGGAATAGGATACTTTTCCTATATGCGCAATAAACCTACGCAAGGGCGCAGCCAGGCCGTTCAAAGTCGGAGATTCAAAATTCCCGTATAGCCCCATAGACTCACGAGGGAGAAGAAGCATGTTTGTTACAGTAATTTCCTTTTTTTGATACCTTAGAAAGGCTCGAGAAAGACTGATGGTTGTTTGGAGGCCAATATTATGATTTTGAATTTAATGATCAGCAACATAGGGTCTGGCATATCACTCCCTGACAAGTAAAATGACACGATTAGCTTGGTAGTTGATCAAATTGTCCTCCACAGTTAATTTATATAAATTCGTTCATCTTTTACAAAACATTAGATTAAACAAATAATCACAACTTTAACCTGGCTACATGTGGTACCACTATCACAACTTGGATATTTGATCATCAAAAATCAGCATCCACCCTGAGCAGTGTTTCCCAACCCGATTCCGCGGTCTCAAATGAGTTCGCAGAGCGTTTAAATGAGTCCGCAACGAGTCAGAAAGTCACTGCGGGCCGCAAACGTTTTTGCGAAACTTAATCAACTATCAGCCAAGTTAGGATTTGCGTTAAAATTTACAAAAAAAACATAAAAAGTCGGTTTATTCACATGACTTTAATCGCGTCAATAATTACTGGTTACTGAGTAGGGCTGGGCATATATTCGAATATTCAACTATTAGAATAGCACATTTACTAATCGAAAATTTGGTAACACGTGACGCGACAGGTCACTTGCGAGTCGCTTAATCAAACGGTTGGATTTCACAACTCACTTGTGGATTTCCGACGAAAACAGAGTCTGTACACGCTTCGATAGATTCGGAATAGGTGTTTCTCGCGAGTTCGTACAACGGGGAATAAATTATTTTTCTAGTAGGTGTAAATGGTGGCAACCCAAATTTTTTAAATTGAAAAGCGGCCCGCGACCGATTGAAAACGCTTTTTTAGACATTGCAAATCGCAAAATTTCGGGTGCTACCGTAGTAGACGCACCAGGTCATTTTCCTTTAGGATTCTCTGCTTTACTGCCTCCACATTAGTAATGTCGCACAGTAAGTACGCGCAGTAGTGATGTCGAATTCACACAGATTTGTCGAATTCACAAAAATACGAATCAAAACAAGATAAAATCGGGCACTTTACCACGCATTTTTGCGTCCACGGATTGTCATGGTATTTTTTGAGTCGTATTGCTCTTATTTCGTCAACACAACCGCAGATTAGAAGAATCACACATGTGGATGAATTGAATATTTTATGCAACAGAAAAAATCATTGAAAAGTCGGCTCTTTTAACGAGGGACGTATACGCGACGATTACTTCAGAAGTTGTTCTCGAGAATTTCAAGGCGATAAATATGTATTTTCGATTTACTAATATATATACTTTAAATATATTTTTAATAAATACTAAATTGAGTTGTACATTCTGGAAATTTATAGCAAATAGTATGATTTTTTCTAACAGCGATAACAAATTCACAAGATTGCAAAAAATATGTATGAAAGCTGAATATAATCAGGCAATATATTCTCTCATTATTATGTTCGCAGATGGCAGTGGAATTTTAAAAAAGTAATGCTTTCATCTTGTCGTAAGTCGACGCAACCGCGAGTTACCATGATGAACACAATTAAATTAAAATAGAAAGACATTTTGAATTATCGTCGTTGTCATGGATTGAATATTGTGCGATAGAAAAGTCTATTATACACCAAAAAAGTCGACTCTTTTAACAAACGCGTAATTGCGGCGAATTTCCTATTTTGAAATTCATTAAAATTCTGCTGTGTTTGGTTTTATTGCTTCTTTACACAGAGTACGGTTGCAATAAATGCACCTTGAGTCCGCAAAGGTTTTCGCCGATGAGAAAATAGTCCGCAACCAAAAAAGGTTGGGAAACGCTGACCCAGAGCTATCTAAATTAGACAGATTACCAAACGAACTTGACTACAATAAACACACGAAGAAAGTCAGGAATCTGGGAAACGCGAATTGGTATATAAAAACGTTCGAATTATGATAAAATGTCCACTCATTTAATTTATAATTGAATAATTACAATCCGAAAAAGATAAAAACGCCAATATGTGAACAGATTGGGCCAAATACACCTAAATCACGACACAAAGGAAACTTATAATTCAGGAGTTGGAGCATGTGTTTGTGATGGTACTTATCAAGTGTGACATCATCGGAGTGTTGGTGTATGCTTAGAAAATTTGTTGATGAAAAGTACAGAGTTTGTACCTCGCTGCAATTGACGCAAAGTCGCTTGTCGAAAAAACATATGTTAAATTTGCGTTTGCTCTTTGGGAGGTAGGGGGGCCAATGCCCTCTTGGCAACACCTATGGCGGCATGGGAAAACCTTTTCGCTGGTGTCATAAATTTCATTGTGTAATAATATTCATTCATTGCGTTTACTGTGTGTAATTTTCACAAGTACGTTGTTGTTTGTTGTCAGATTACTCACCTGGGTGGGAACTACTGCTCTAGAGCGCAGACCTGCACGTCTTGCGGCCCGCGAAAATTTTTTTACTTTACATATAGGTAGTTTGGCACCCCGACTATTATTCGGCACTATGATTCTTTGCTACATCATAATATCTCATGCGCTATCCGGGACAACTGCATGGGAACGCGTGCACCACTACAAAATTCAACAATTTTATAACAAAGAAATGTTTAATCAGAATTGGCGTTACAAATCACACTTTCCATTAGAAAATCCACATGAAAATTCCAAAAAACTGGAATTATCCATATGACGCAGATTTAAAAAAAAATGGAAAATAACACACATATGACAAAGCTAACTATGCGTCAATTCAACTCTCGCTTGTCAAGAATGATGCAGTGGATAAACTACAACTTAGAAAACTACAAGAAAAGCAGCAAAGATGACATGACACTTCATCAATTATGCAGTGGACGGGAGACAAACGTAAAAACAAAATGAGCAACACAGACCAATGCTCAAGTCAGTTTCTTTAACACCACAACTGCAACTTTTGATGATTCGGATGAATCTTCCAATTTTATCTGCGGTGTCATCATATTGTCTTTGATACTAAAATTACAGGGTATACGCCTAGGGCGCATGCTTGGTGGTTTATATACAAAAGATAGTTCGTCATCATCAAAGTAGTTTCTATTACATTCCAACCAATCATCTTCATTACTATCTTCACTCATTGAAGATATCTTCCGTTTCCTGATTACCTTTTTTCTAGGCGTTTCCGTCACGAACTGTTTTCTTGTGTTGTTTGCTTCCTGAAAACATATCATATTTTACAGAGTGGTTTGCAGCAGAATGATTGATAGTAATGCGTGGACAAGTTCTCAAACAGTGGGGTACGCCCCACGATAGGGGCGAAGACAATTTTCTGAGGGGGGAGGGGGTGAGGCTATTTAAAAACGTTGCTCTGCTAATTTTATTACCATTTTCATCAACATACTTTTGCGAAATTGGATTTTCCACACTGGTACACGTGCAGACGTGCAGACAATAACCCGGAACCAGATAACTGTTAAAAACGTTAACCGTCTTGCCAGCTACAAACAACTCCACTAATAAAAATAACAACGCATTTGGCGTGTTGTTGAAACTTTTCTTTTATTTCATTATTTACGTTCCATCCAAACATATTTTCAACGTGTTTTTGGAATGAAACATAGTTTTGCCTTACTACCTGTTATTTGTAGATTATTGCTAGCTAGTCATTTTTGAGGTGGGGTGCGAGACTTGACAAATTCTAAAAAGGGGTCGTGGTTTAAAAACTTTGAGAACCACTGGTTTAGCCATTAGCGAATACTGGGATACTAAAAAAACTTTTCAAGAAACATGTACTTTTATAGTCCTTTACATTCCCGATAATCTCACTTCTATAGAAAACAAAAAGAATTTCCTGGAGCGTATTTGTTGTAGTAATGTTTGATAAACTGACTTTCTATTTTTATCTTATTGAGAATAGAGTTTACATACTTATACCCGGGTGATAATATGGCTCAATCATATGACGAACCAACGGCCTCTAGGCCAGTTACCAGTCCATGTTGGGTATGGATTATTTAGCCAGTTATTTATTTATAGATGCATGGACTTGATGGTGGAGAAAACCCTGACCAACCAGCTGTAACGTTCAGCAATACTCTTGTACATAATCATCCCCCACACAGGGTAATTTGAAGTACAGTGATAAGCGTATACCTACTACTTAGTAAGGTACGCCCGGTATGACATGTTTATAGATGAAGCATGCCCTGATACACGAATAATCAATCGTTGAGAACAACATACCAGCAATAACGTATATCTGACCAAAAAAATTCACATACTGTTTCTGGTTGTATATTTGAGATATCACGTAGCTTGACGTAGGAGTCAAAGTAGAAAATTTTCCTGTCACCGACTCTCATTGTTTTGCTAGTGTGTTTCCTCATGTGAGAACGAAATATAGGGCCAAACCTAAAAAAATTACCTCTCTCTCACTATTTGTGGCTCATTTGAAAAATAGTTGCTGCTTATTGCGAACATACTCTGATAACCTCAATAAAGGTTATCCTAGGAGTGTGCTACCTGCGGCCCGCTGGCCAAATACGATCTACAAGGAAAAATTGTCCATCCCGCGAAGAAGTGCCAATTTTGAATGGTGTGTGGCCCACAAAATTATTTAATTTTGATTATTCTGGTACGTGAATTATTACAATCCATTTGCGTTGCAAACATATACCAGGGCAAATTCATTATCTATGCCTATATCGTTACATTGCCCTAACAGCAAGCTTGTACCAAGCGAACGACGCATGTCATTAAATCAATAACCAAAATTTTGTGCCACCTCATTTGTAGAGAATGTGAGAGTGAGCATAATTAAAATATGCAGTACGAGTCAGCAGCATGTAAACGACATACATCAAAAGATAAGAGATTATATTCTCCCATGTGTAACTATCACTCCTTTAAAATTATCCAAGTTTTGACTTAATCTTTGCCGAACTTTCTAGCCTAGCTTCTGTTTTATTGAAATCTCAATTTGATTCAGTAATTAAAATAATATCAAACCTTGAGTCCAGAGTTTGAAATGCAGCACTGCAACCCTCGAATCTACATTTTTTTACTTCGGAACGCTTAGTACGTATCTGTTGAAAAAGTTAATAACAGTACAATGTTGGGAAAGCCCTTTTAAGGGATATGTATCTGCAATGAACTATCAGAAGCCTAAACTTAGCAAAATATATAACAATAAAACTATTTCAAGAAATATTGAAACCATCAAAGTGTGTATAATTAGCACTTCAGAGAAGCAAATAAACTTCTACACAGAGAATTTTTGAAGTTAAATAACAAAAATTGATAAAATACTGACAACATGATAAAACAAGCATCGGTTTAGTGGATAACTGCCATATATTGATATATATGATTCTCAGAATAAAACAACTTTCACAAAAAAAAGTAATATAAGTACATACATTCTGTTTACTCTTCAATCTGCGATTACGCAGATTTCGATATCGTGCTTGTAGGAATGACACTACCTGTAAGGAAGAGAAATGGGACTATAAACATTGTTAGTGCGAATACTAACAAAGTATCTTCCTCAAAAAATAATTTTTTATTAAATAAACATTTTTTTTAAATTTGTACAGATTATATTACATCAATAGGTGAGTTTTTATTCATTTTGAATATCATGAATTGGCTCGACGATGTGGCGTATCGTGCTAAGAATATGTTTGGGTTCGCAGGTTTGAATTTGGATTCCTCGTGGTTTGTGTAGCCGCTGGTCGGTTACGGCTTCCCCCCACCACCAAGTCCATTGACTGGATAACTAATCCCATACCCCACATAGACTGGTAATTGGACGACAGGTCATGATTTGTGATATAATTAAGTCCCAGTAAGCATAAATATGTAAATCCTATCCTACCCTGAGAAGTTCCTATCTCTCTTTGAATTGTTAAGGACTGACAATATTTAATAAAATGTAACTGTTAATTTGATTATTCAGTCCTGTTTATATGGTCTACTTTTACATAAAAGGTTCTGAATTGAAATGCAATTTACAGCTTGTGAATTTGTGGAACTGTAAAATAAGGGACTTTATTAATTCATAATTGTTAGCTTGCCAAGTTCGCTTGCTTAGTTTCAAGCTAAGCCCTGCTCTCAGTTATCTATAAATTAATGAAAAAAAACACGGTAATATACCTCTAGCATTGAATGGTTACATAGGTGACAATACAAAGAATATTGTGTATCATGTTGCTTGATCATACACTTCGATATAGGACAGTTATAGTATGGTTCAATCTCATTTGGTCGAAAACTGAAAGAAAAGGAATGCAGCATGTTTCAATAAAGCACTGAAAAAATTAGGCAGAAATGGGAGAATATAATTATATAGCATTCTAATAAACAATAATGCAAAATTACTAGAGACAAAGATATCCTGTATTATAATACAAACCACTTATAAAAATATATTGCATGCAAGCAGAGCATGTGGTTATTATTTCATTTATAGCAGTATGCCAAGAATCAGTTATACAGGGTGGTCACTAGAAAAACAGAAAATTTTACACTCATAGATGCTCAAAATGTCGTCTATGTACTTCAGAGCAGTTTCTTGACCTAAAAGTCCAAGCTCGTGTAGCGTTTTAAGTGTTAACTTGTCGAATACCATTCCAAGCTCGTTTTCAAATCATTATTTATAAAAATAAATAGCTTTTTGACAAATTTTATGTTTTTCTAGCGATCACCCCGAAGTTACTTTTGGATATTGCTGAGTAAATGAAAAGCTTCAAATTAATAGTAATCAGTGTATACATACTGTCGTGAAACTCTTGAACTGTAAGCTTTCAAGTCCTTATAAATTTCACGAATTGATTCTTGTGTTACTTCACAATACTCTTTCACATATTTTGGAGATTTTTCGCTGTGAAAAAAATATGATAGAACTTTTTCTCCATTGTTTCATTTTAATATGACTAGGTGGTGTGGCGCATGGTGCTAAGCTCGCCAACGCAACTCTGATTAGCCTGTATGGTTCGCAAGTTCGAATCCTATGAACTCCTCGTCACCGTAGGGTGGTTCCGGTAACCGCTGGTCTATTACGGTTTCCTCCAAGTCCATGCTTCCGAAAAAATATAAATAACTGGCTAACTACAGTAATCCCATACCCAACATGGACTGGTAACCGGACGAAAGGCCGTGGTTCACCATATGACTAAGCTGTCTTTTTGCCTCTCCTCTCCCCCAGGATAAATACGTAAATCTTATCCTATCCTAGTAATAGCGTATATTAATAAAAAGAAAATATATAGACAGAAGAATAAAAAGGAACTGCTGAACCGAAAATTATCTGAAATTTCTTCTTTAACAGAAATCAAAGAAATATTTCATCAGTGCACACTTTGGGAAGAATAACTTACCAGCCATTATGATGTTCTTTTGCATCCCATACAGATCTTGCTAAATTGCTTATGTTTTCCTTTTGATTTTCCTCCAGAATAGATAATTGGTTTGACACACTAAGTGGAAATGAAAACTTTTCTTGTTCAGGCAGAGTTTCTTGTTTAGTCTGCATAGAACTGTTACAAAACAAAATACTTTAAATAAATCTTCAAATTATTGTCTGAAGAAGCCCATATTATCATAGTGGAACACACTTGGCAAGTACGTTATGTCGAATTATGCGAAGAATAAAGAATACATAATATATGCTTTACACCCAATTCAGCGATTGCTGGCATTTGCAAACTTGCCGAACTCTTACGTTCTTCTGAACCCAACGATTTGATATGTTAAAGTTAGTTTTGTGTCTTCATTTGATAGGGTATGAATTCGTTGCGCCAAGGTTGGGTTTTCTATTTTATATGACACATACGTTCTTATAGAGGTATGAGTACTGGGAATTTACATACACTATAGCAGTCATTGGCAAGTTCAATGAAACTTATATCTGCGAATATCGATACAACACAAGGTTAAGCTACGTTAAGAGTTATGATTAATTTTACACACCTTGTGTGAGAAGTAATTTGAATATTATTGTTGTGAATATAAGCATCTTCATCCTTGAAAAAGAAAGTATCTCGTTATAAAGAATCTGGTAATACTTTTTTTTCGACACTAACGGTAATATCTTTCTTCGACACCAACTTATGTTAAAACAAAATATCGATCAAATTTGAAAGAATTGAAACCCGCACCGAGACCCACCATCACCGAAATAGAGTCAAGATTCGATTTTTTGGTCTCATTAAAAATATTGTCACTTCTATTATTTTTTTTCCAATATCTTCGGAGTTATTATATTTCACTTTATTTTTATTTTAGTTCTTGAGGGGCGCGTAAAAGTTTGGCTGCGCCAATTGGGTTGTGAGAAAAAAGTTTGAAGATTACTGATATGAATTGATCTTTTAAAACAATATAATCTGTTCAGACCACACTTTATTTCAGTGAACTAAAAATAAAAAAAGTGATTCAAACAAGATATTATACGTATCATCACCTACTGTAAAGACACATTTAGGATTTACTTTGAAACTTCCTATGTAAATGTGATTCAAAAATGAGAATTGAAAGTTTTTTTTGAAATTCCTTGAACAAATCACAGCATACTTACATCTTCATATTCAATATCACAATTATCTTTTAATTCTGTCATGTCACGATCACTAGCAGGTGAGTTGTCCATTTCAGAATTTAAATCAGAATAAGGCATGCATGATTGCTGTTGCTGAACTTCTCCCTCGATAAAAAGATTCCTTGTACAGTCAACAGCATCAAAATTTTGATTCCCTGTTGCGTAAAAAAACTAAAATAGCTGGAACAAATTGATTAAAAACTTGAATGACAATCGAGCGTATATAAGGAAGTATGAGAGATTAATATTTGGTAAATATTTTTTGGGTATATGTATCTACAGCAGTGGTTCTCAAACAGTGGGACGTGCCTGACAAGGGAACGTATACAATTTTTGAGGGGGGGAGGGGCGTAAAGCTAATTGCAAATAAAAATATTTGTTAGATTTGATCTTGCCCAATGCCCATCTTATTTTAGATATTTCCCTTTCTTTATTTGGATATTTATGTGTTTTTAGAATAAAACATACTTTCGCTAGATAGCTAGTTATTTTTTAGGTGGGGCTTGACAAATTCTAAAAAGATGCCGCGACTTAAAAAGTTTGAGAACCCCGATCTAAAAAATTCGTAAAATCTACAATTTAGAAGTCACTCACCTTCAGGTATTTCCATAACTTGTGCTCCAACTGTATCAGGAACGTGGGTTGCTGAATCTGTTACTGTAATCACAGAAACATGGGATGCTGAATCTGTCACCACACTAGGCATAGAATGTTGTTCTACCTCAGTGTTGTGTCCTGGGTTGTACAATGTTGAAGACACAGGACAAGCAAAATGATTTTGTGGTTGCACAACCCTTTGACGAACAGTAGATGATGGAATCTGATAAAATCTTCTTCCTAACGATTGTCCCAGACTTGGTATAGTAAACAATGACGTAGTTTGTTCTCTGGTTGAAGTTGGTTGTGACAATTCTGAAGTGACAGTCAGTGTGGCAATACTAGACACAGATGATTCAATTGAATTTTGAGGCATTGATTTTCCTACAGGTCTCGATCGCACAAGTGGTTTTACAACTTGTACCTTTCTTGCAATGGAGGATGGTTTACTAGGAAATTGAAATTGAAAAGCACCAACTTGAGATGTAATTTTTATTGGCAACCGATTCTGCGGCATATCTGAAATGACATGACGTCTGCTGAATAATTTATCAGCTTCTTTTGTAGAAGTAACTGAAATCAGACTAGAATTACTAGATGAAGCAGTACTTCGATCTATTTCTGAGTTTACATCTGACAAAGAAGAGCGAATATTATTGACATTCAACTGTAAACTGCTAGGCTTGCGTTCAGTAGAAATGGAGCTGGATAAGTTAATTAAATTCGAAAACTGACATATTGAAGCTACTGGAAGTCTCAGTTTTGTTGATGTTATGTTTGAAGATCCCCGTGGGATTTCACTTTTTTGAAATGACATTATGGTTCCACTTGATCTATATTCTTTTATTTTTTTCATATCTTCAGTTGATTTATTTCTGACAGTGGACGAAGTGATCACTACCTTGTTCGGGTATGGAAGTACAGGTTTACGATTTGGAGTATAAAATGATGTTCGCGCCGACGATTGCTCAACGTGACCCGAACAAACATCATTACTCTGAACTTGACTTTTACTCGTATTATCAGTGACCTGCTTGATATCAAATACAGAGGTATTTACGTCACCAACAATTCCAGGCAACTTGTGCATACCTTGATATGTCATGGAGGTAGGCTCAATAAACGAATCGTTTTTATTTATTTCTGTAGTACTTTGAGCCGAGGAAAAAGTACTTGGCGTTCCATAAAATATATGGCTTGAAGATGCAATTGCACAATGCGATTGCGACGGACGATACGCACTCTGCACCAGACGAACTTTTGCACCCTTGCCTGCTGATGCATATAATAAAGATGAGCTTTTGAAATAATCTCTAAACCTGGAGACTGAAATGGTATGTGTTTCAGATTTGATGATTTTACTTGCAATCCTATGCTCGGCCAGCAAAGATGAAAGCTCCACAGTGCTGTTCAGTGTAGTTGGTTCAGTACAGATTTGCTTCAGACTATCAGCAAAGTTTGAAAGTTGTGATGTCATTGTTCGTGATGTAATATTAGAAGAAGATGTACGTTCGGAGTTGAAAATATGACCACTTTCAATACCTTGCACACCAATGTCGTCAGTATCAAGTTTTAAGATACTGCTGGCTTCTGAAACATTATCAGTATTGTGTTGATTTGCAGAATCAAATTTCACAACACCAGTATGGAGTTGTTTGACTTTTTGTGTATCTTTTTCATCAATTGATGTAGAAGGAATAGTTTCAGAGTCCATTTTTCCAGTATTGCCTATCAACAATGGTGGACTATTTGTTACGACAGTGTGGATTGTCAAATCATTACTTCCGTTCTGTGATATTTTCCGAGGACTCAAAATGATTGGTCGTTTTCTATTAACTACTTTCTCTACTAATGAACATTTCGGCATGCCAGATGTGCTTTTTATTCGGGCATCTAGTGTTTGTCTGATTGTAGTATACTCGGGTACAGTTTTTGTATTACTTGTACTTAAAGTCGACATAGAAGCATAAGAATGTGCAGAATCTGTTTTCGTGTATTCATCATCATCATTCCCGTCTTCATCCACGGACAAATCAATAGTTACGACTGATCCGTTCCTTGTTGTCATTTGTTTTTTAGTTGTCTTCTGTGGCGACTTAATTGATGGTCGAGACATTCCCGAAGTATTATTTTCAATTGTGCTAGGACTTGTTACATTTTGTGATTGTTGTGCAATCGGCTCCGAAACCACACTATTGTTTGACACAGTGCTGTGATGTATGGCCAATGGTGACACAGTGCTGTGATGTATGGCCAATGGTTTAACTGAAATAGAAATATTTTGAAGCGCTGGCATTTCTTTCGTTTCATTTTTCAAAGTGAAGTCTTTCACAATTGTCTGATTTTGGTTAGAATTCTGAAAAATGAATGAATGATTGATAGTTAATACCAAGATTTCCGCACGTCTGAATGGTAACTGGAGCATTGCTTGTAAGTGATTATAAAAGACCAAGATCTTCATATATAAATAGCTTCTCATCTGGATTTCTAGAAGCACATTCAGATATTTTCAAGATTTGACGTAAAAAGATTTTTTGTGTTAAAGTTCCAACTAGAGCTGAGATAAAAATTTCAAAATATTGTCTGATGTATCACACTTCTAAATTTTTTTAAACAATATAATCACAGCAAATCTCATACGCGATGATACTATATGTCATATTCAAAAACGACACCCAGTGGTTCAAGTATACACAAGAAATTAATCTGGCATCCATTTGCTTATTTGAAAACATAATTACATATTACACGAATATCAAAATGCAAACGCTATTACTCTTACCTCTTCTAATTCTGTTGTGTTTGGAACATCATTCAGTAGTTGTAGACTTCTGTCTTGCGATGGAACATCAGCCGTATTAGTTCTGATAAATAAAAGAAATTCATCCTATTATCAGTATATTTGCTCCTGCATATTTCATTATGGGGATATAGTTTGGCGTACTCCGCTAAGCAATAAGTATACGCCTGCTATCGCCCCTCTGATTAGACTGTGTTGGTTCGCAGTTTCGAATTCAGTGGTGGATAATTAGGTGCGTTTGCTGGAACCTTCACCTTGTTGTGGACACATAACTGCTATTATGGTCGGATACAGCATCCTCCACCATCAAGTCTATGTATCTGAAACTAATACCTTGATAACTAATCCCATACCAGACATGGACAATTGTAACTAGTCAAGAGACCATGGTACGCCGTATGATATGAGTAGTGAGTACGTCGTGTTATCGGCTTTCTTCTCCCCCGGGATAAATATGAAAATCCCATGCCAATATTAATATTTGTAAAAAATAAATTTATCTATGAAATTTACCAATTCTCACACTGACAATGTTTTATAAGTTTTATATTTACCAATAAACAGTTGAATAACATTATCTTTTCAAAAAATATTACCTGTCATTAGTTTTTAATCGAGCTACCAATTCTTTGCGAAACCTTTCTTGAAATTTGACGTGAAACTTATTTTCATGAAGATCGAGGTCATGTTGCGATTCCATTAACAAGCAACAATATAAACAGAAAAGCGGAAAGGAACCGGTGTGATGGTGATTAGACAATTCGGAATGATTGCTGAAAATAAAATAAAATGATACATTTGAAGTATGTACTGACCGTTATAAACTCTTCAATAACAAAAAATTCCAACACAAGTACTAATACATCCAAAAGCCTTGGAATCAAAATAAAATGTTTTGACAGATTCTCATTAAGTTGCCGGCCAATTACGTTTCTAACTGTATAACCGGGATTTAGACTACTCGTATGAAAGAAAATGAATGAAGATAAAAAATATCATATGAAAAATCTGCTATATCTACTGAAAGTAAAAGAGTCCAGCTGACCACCAAAGCCAGACGCAATATTACAGATATACTTTTGTGTTAGTGTTTAGTAGGACTCTTGAATTGTTTATTCCTGCTAACGGATCCACTAACGCAAAGGCATAGAGGTGGAATATGGAGTTAGTCTCGCGTAACCCAACTGATAGTTACGCTTATTAAAAATATTCGACTTATCATGAGTCGAGGCCATTCATGTTTATACATTTAATAACCATGTTTTAACCTTGAACTATATGAAAAACTTACCTATATTTGAAGAGGCAAGCTTGAGGGTGAACACAAGATTTATTATGATTTTTCGACTGAAGTGCATGCTGAAGAACATGCTCTAACATATCCTTGATTTGAACAGCCTGCTGGCATATTCCACATATAGCTGGAATAAAAAATTTATATTCGCATCCTTCACCTTGTGGAATGGAAATAAACTCCTCCAAGAGCCAAGAACATCTTTGATAATAAAGATTTTGGGTAAAAGGCATTTTTGATAATATAGGTCTAGATGGTTGAGAGCTCAGGGCAAGCGTAGGCAATGGCATCCTCTCTGATTTCGTACTAGTCTTAGTCTTTACCACTTGGATTGCACTCAATACAGAATGTAATCGTCTCCGTTTTTGCTTACATGATTCTGTTTGACCAAGTTTTTTCAATCTAGGAAGCGTAGAACCATTATCACATTTTGATGAAGAGGATAAAAGTGTTTCAGAGTTAGTTCGAGATGCCAACTCACAAGAATGCGACCGTTTGACCCTTTTCTTTGGAGGTATTGACCTCGGTTCTGCGGCATCTGATAATAATTGTAGTGATGACAATTTTTTCTTTTTACTTTTTTCTTGTTGAACTGACTCAGATAGCGATGGAAACATCTTCAAAAAGATCTCGTCATCTGCTTGCCATACATCTGGTATTGCTACTGGTTCAAGATGTTTGACATGGTTAGTATATCGACCACGAAATTTTCTGAACGAGTCTTTCAATATTGATATTTTTTTATGTTTTTTATTTTTTTCTTGTTTTGTTGACTTTATTTGATGCTTTGTGTTCCTACTTTTAGAAATCGAACAACTTTTCTTGACAAAAACTTTTTCAGATGATTTTAGGTCTTTTCCAGACTTGGGGATCTGGCTGTTCTCCATCATCCTCAAATTATCAATTGATGCCTAAAATTTAAATAAATGTTTTGAATATTTGAATTTGTGGCGAATTATGGGCAAATAGTCTTGCTGCCTAAGGTATTAATTGGTCTTTGTCTAAAGGGAATTAAGAAATTGAGTGTGAAACAAAAACGAATGATTTACAATAAAAAGAGAAGCCTGAAGAAATTCAAAAATCTTTTTAAAATAATATAGAATAAAATCAAATAGGAAATCTGTAACAGAGTTGAAATTATCATAGCATTCAACTCACAGGATACAGACCAAGAAAGTATTTGTCAAATCTTATTTTCTTGGAAAAATAAAATTTCCCAACTGAGACTAAACATTTAATTCAACAACAGTACAGAATCGAAATAAAAATGAAATCAAATTTTTCTTCATTTTTAGTAATGTCAAATTTTATGTCTAAATATTTGCAATAACTAGTTTTGTATTGAGCATGAATCATAGAATATATTCCAAAAAATGAATTCAGAAAGTATTGAAAATATTTGTATATTAAAATCTGCCTGACCTGTTTAATCCTAATTACAGGATTCAAATGATCTGGTATTCTGTTTACAGTAGTTGACATTGTTGTATTCTCAGGATATACTTTTTCAATGATATTGCCTGTCACACTATCAGAATCTAATGTACTGGTTTCAGCAGATGTGGTTGAAATTTCCATTGCTGGTGTCGAGATAACAGCAGATAGAACCGTATCATTATTCCAACCTAAAGCAGGTTTGTCAGCTGATAAAATTGCTTCCTTTTTTGCAAATCCTGACATCATTCGTTCCAGCATATTAGAATACTGAATGTTTGAGACGGGCATACAATTCGTATCTCCGAAAGGCGATAACATTACAGTATTTGTATTTGAAGAAAACGCATGATTACTTGTTGTATCAAGAGAGCTTGCTTTATTTAAAATCATATCCCGATTTGGTTTCTCGTCATCATTCACACACAATATGGTGTTTTTGATAGGACTTTTTGCTAGTTGGATCTCTTGTGAATCGGCACCTTCATCTGGTAGTATGGTAATTGTGGTTTCAGTTTGCATTCGATTCGACTCACCTACATCAAAAAGTAAGTTTTCAGAATGCATGATATCTGTGGTTGACTCATCCGGCAAGGAAGCAATGACAGCATTCTCAACACCATTGACAGTCATGGGAAGCAATCCTAAAAAACAATCAACACCCAATAGTTCTAATGCATCACACTGTTCGGAGGATTCAACATGAGTCAACACTCTCTCTAATGTACTTGCAACTTCCATAAGTATTATGTCATGTTCGATTATTCGGTGAGAATTTTTTGAGATGAGAGCCCCAATTCCTCCAATATGCGGATCTAGAAATGATGAAATCATTCCAATCGGTACAATCTGCATTGTTGATTCAACATGATCTGCGTCATTATCAGTATCGAATGAAAGTTCTTTCATTTCAAATTCGGACTTCGACAAAGGAAGAACACAAGCATCTTTATTACAATCAACCATATCTTGTTGAACTTCACTATCAGAAATTCCATGTCGCTCTACAATGGCGATCGTTGAGTAACTCTCCCGTTGAACGTCGTCACATTTGGCGTTCAAACACTCATTTTGTTTGTCCCTTCGCATAGCAAGGTCAATAATTTTTTGACAAGCATACATGAGTGAATCGGGCTCCTGGTTTATCTTTGCAACAGATTCAAAATTATTTGAGATTTTGTCACTTTCTGATAAGTTTGAAGATTCAACAACCTCGTCATTTGAATTGCTAACCTTTAAACAATCATCCACTTTGTCAGCAACTTCAATTTGCAAACTCAAAGCAATAGAATCCGTAAGGTTACTTGCACTTGACTCAGGAATACTGTTGCCGTTGGTGTTGCCATACACGCCATTTTGAGGGAAAGTAATATCTCTTGTCTCCGTTAAATTTACATCTTTTAATACTGCAACTTGATTATCATCATTCAAAATCGAATAAGTTGGCCTATTGTCATCCACCATCTCTATTTTCACATTTATGTCATTTTCAGAAGGATCATATTCACAGCCGACTTCCTCAAGTGTATCCAAAACATCAGTTATGATGTCACATACATAGGATTGAAGAAAATATTCATGGCCTTGTAAGGCAATAGAATCGCAATACTTTATATCATGGCCACTTTCCTTTATCATTTTATCGTTATTTTCATTTTCTGTCCCTCTGTGAGATCTTTTGCGATGGCTACAACATAAAAAATGTTCGTTGTCATCGCTGCGATGTTTTGGGGATATTGATGATTTTTCGCCTTTGCCTTTTTTCCGACATATTTTAGGTTTGCGAAATTTGTTGATGCAGAATTTTTCACGTAATATCGATAGAATATTCTGTTTAAAAAACAACAATTAGTTTAATTAGCAACCTCAAATTAAATATTATTAAGGAAAGGAATCATCACGAGCAAAATTTGAACATGTTCTTTAAGTGAAAAACCCAGTCGTATAATGGTTAAATCACCAATGGTAATAATACTAGCATTGTGGCGCATTGTGCCAAGCGTTAGGAATATGATGCCACCGCACGTCTGTTGCCCTTTTTAGGTTCGCAGGTTCGAATCTTATTCGAGAATAGTTATGTGTGAAAAGATTGTTGGACTCCTCCTTGGTTAACATAACCGCTGGTCAGTTACGGCTTCCTCCGCCATCAAGTCCGCGTATCTTAAAACAAATAACTAACTAATCCCATACCCGACATGAACTGGTAACCGGACGGTAAGCCATGGTTCGCCATGTGATTAAGCCCTCATATCGTCTTTTCTCCCCCCTGGGATAAATATGTAAACCCTATCCTATATGCAGAAATCGTATTTTTCAATATAATAAATGATATGAAGATAGTGATTACTGGATGGCGATTTGGACATTTTTTTCTATAAAACAAGAGACTCACTACAACATCAGTATGATGTTTTTTCTCATGCTCCAATAAATCATCAGCAGATGAAAAGCATGAATCCGATGCACAGAATAAACATATGTTCACTGCTCCTTCGTGAAGTAATTGGTGTGTGTCTAATTCTTCTTCAGTTCTATAAAACATCCATCATATTATAAAAAATATTGATATAATGTATTCAAATATTATTTATTCCCAAAGCAATGTGGAAAAACATTCTGAATATTTTGCATCATACTGAGATGACTAAGTGGAGATATTCAATAACACAGAACTTGCACTGTGGTATTGGATAAAAGTCCTGAACGCCGATTTATCTAGTAAGGTAATGAACTGATCATAAGAAATGCATCAAGGACAAGTTGCATTCAGAGCCATAACAGTTTCTATAAACAACAGTGGCATGAACAAACTTGAGTCACATTGATACTATGACATGAATCTGACGTTATGTCAATGTTAATTCGAAAATCGAACTATGATTTAATCAGTATCATCCCAGCCTATTACAAGTTATTGCTGCAAAAAGCTAGTGAATTTTACATTTTTTAATATACCATTTCAATCAGGTGTAACAAATCATACAGAAATTTTTTTCTTTTCAAAGGCCTCACAAAAATTTTCTCAAAAACCAAATCTTTCAGATTAAACGAGTCCCAGTTTGAATTGAGTTATATGGCTCGGATTTGATGTTTCATATAGCAAAGAAATTTATATCCAACATACCTGAAAGCATAGAGGCAGCCAGGAAAATCACACAAATTCTCGAATCGATCGATGGTCCGAAGATGAAAAATAATATGGCTTATGTAATTATCCAGTCTCTTGAATCCATCCTATGATAGAAGGATTATTATGGTAGAAAATATAGAATAATAATTACTATTATAGAAAATACTGAATTTGCTACCTAATTATCCTTGGGTCTGAAATACTAAACTGAACAGAACCAGGTCTAGTAAGATTTATGAATTTCCAGAGCTTTGTTCTGAGTGAATGGGAGATGGTGGAATGAATACAGTTACCTTGAACTGAACTAGGAATGATGAAACATATAAAGAAATCCAACTGGAAATAGTAAAAGAACAGTTAAATAATGTCATGTCATAAATTTACAGAATTGTAGTAATTTGGTATTCATTTCCTGGGTATTGCACGAGCTGCATGTGGCCCACGGACCGTATTTTGTCACCCCTGAGACAAGATATACCTTGCATAGCCAGCATCGTTTTATGGAATTGTTGCTTCCTGTCGAAGTTGGCTTCATAGTATCGCTCCCTGTCGAATTTGGCTTTGCAGTATCGCTTACTGCTGAAGTTGGATTCATAGTAGCGCCGTCTGGTGCTGATGTCGACTGGAATACGACATATTCATTAAATTCAAATGGACAAATCATCAATTAACTATGTTGTTTTAAGATCAATATTTTGCTATTTATTTTATGTATAAAGTATTCCTCTGGAAGTATAGGCGACCAATTTCCATCATTCTATCCATAACTCTTCAAATTGCATATTTGATCATAATATTATATAACTTTTTAATAGGCTATGTTTTCAGCTATATTAGGCAAAGTAATTATATTTGGCGAAAAACAAAAAAATCTTGAGTAAACATCTTATACAGTAAGAGCAACTTTTATACTTTTCATTCATCACAATTTCTTAGGAACATATCCATTTCATAACAACCACAGAAAAGATGAAAAAATGAAATTAATAAGAGGATGAACTATGTAGTATGGGGCTAGGCAACATTACTAGTTAATCACTTGAAAAAACCTCAATTTGAAAAGCTATGAATAAAAAACAGTTTATTTGCAAAAGTTAGTCAGCAGCTAACGTTTATATAATAATAAAACGCACAATGTAACAATCGGGGTCATTATGACGTTATTTTGATAGATATTTTCAACCAAAATTCATATTCACGAAAGTATAGTCGCAATATCAGCAGAGGCCGGATCCCCCTGAGCTAAACCATCAAAGCAAAAACAGCATGAGGAATTTGACTTGAACCGGTTCTAAAATCAAAGAGAATAAAAACTTGCTTCCAATGATGAAGAAGATGAAATTTCATTCTTTTTTGCAGGTGCCAGAGATTGAGCTACTTTCTTCAAAGCACGCTTGTTGTAGAGATATTGAAGATTTTGAAATTCTGCCCATTTTCTATTGCAAGAAATGATAAAGAATGAAAATATAATATGATAATAGATCGTATTGTGGGTTGTAAAATTGAATTTAGAAATTCATCCAAATTCCCTCACTGGTATGAGCCAAATTATATGTGGTTCAATGTCAGAGATGCTGAATTGAAAAATTGGCTATGATAAAATCCAGATTCCGGTTTAATAAGGATAGAAAATTACCAAATACTGTTGTTATTGTAATATTGGCACTTTATAATAAAACTCATACGAGGATATAGGAATACATATGATAGAAATTTGTTATGATTCAGGTCATGAACCAGCTGAGATGCTGAATTGAAAAATTGGCTATGAAAAAATCCAGATTCCGGTTTAATAAGGATAGAAAATTACCAAATACTGTTGTTATTGTAATATTTGCACTTTATATTAAAACTCATACGAGGATATAGGAATACATATGATAGAAATTTGTTATGATTCAGGTCATGAACCATGACTTGGGACATCAGTGACTCAACTAGGGACTGACTGATTTAGTAATTTATATACAGCATTATTACCGCGATACAGTGGCAGATGCCATGAAATTTTGGAGATGTGGCCTGGATAATAATGTGATAAAATAGTATATTAGGCAATTGAGACTTGAATTAACATATTTATTAAAGTTGCCAAGACTACTGGTAATTAAGGACTTAATTTGTTTCGCAAGGATCAGAGATGTCCAACACGAATCAAATACATTTGAAATTGCTCATATTCAAATAATTTATTCTGGGATTCATATTAGGAATAATTTAAAACGTTTTACTCTTTTAAAATATTTCATATTAAGTTAAACATCGAGACAAAAACTTGTTCCCACTCCTGAAGATTTAAATATAAAAAGTTATTCAAAGCAATGTTTATCTAAATTATCATGCAGGGCCAAATTTATTTAGTGCGAATCAACTATATTTAGACAAATTTATATGTTGACCATGACAAAAGCCAGAATATATTTTAATAAGAATGTATTAGGCTGTGTCTGAAAATTCGTCGTAAGAAATCTCGCGGCATAGGAAAAATCGTAAGAGCATGGATTCAACCACGTCGAATAATTAAAACAAAATTTAGGTCTTGGAAATATACGAGTACCCACCTTCTATTGAAAGTTTCTGGAGATTTCATGGCAATTTTTCTAGTAGCTTGTGTGTAAGCAAGACGTCGAAGACTTCTTTTTTCACTGATTGGGGTTTGTGGTGCGATACCCGCTTCCTCACTTACATCCATGTCTGCTTCACTCGATACATTGTTATCAGAAAGGACAAAACTTTCATCACTAACTGAATGATTATCATCTACGGGGAGAACGAAACTCCCTTTTATCGGAGAAACAGATATGTTGTCTGTGGATTGCTCGTTCACACCCGATTGAGGTATTGATTCATAACCATACAACGAGGCATCACTATCATGTATATCAATAGATTGAGAATCATCTGCACTTGAAAAACTATCAGAAGTCTCCATCGAGAGATCTCCAACACTAGAAGAAACAACTTTGTCTTCTACTGAAATGTAAATTAACAATTTGAGTTTAAAAACAGGGAATTTGTTGAATCGAATTTGTGTTGAATTTGGAAAACAAGGCAGAAAAAACAAAAGTACAACCTAAAATAGATTTGTGACATCGAATAATGAATTTTTTTTTCCACGTTATGGACACATTTAATTATGTATATAATGAAACCACCCTACTGACTCGAAACGAGTTCAATTTTGTCCCTCAATAATCAACAAGCTGGTTTGTTCATTTTGTGACTTTTGGGTATAAACGTGACCAATATTGACAAAACGTGGCTGAAGTCATCCCTTTGAATGGATTGCTTCATTAAAAAAAATTTGATTCACAATCATGGGTTTAACAAACATTTTACAGTCTGGCGCTAACAAAAATAACTGAAGCTGTATTGAAACTAACCTTCAGAGTCTTGATCCATTTCACTGGATGATTCAGTAGCTTTAGATTTTTCAACATCTTTGTCATCTTTTCCAACATCTAAGCTTTCATCTGTTTCTCTTTTATCAGCATTCAATGAATTCAACTCTTCTGGAAAATCTTTGTCACTCTCAGATGTTTCGTCACTACTCGACCGTTGTCTAAATACTTCAATTCTGTTCTGTAGCCTATTAAGCAGAATATTTTCAATTTGAGCACTAACTCCTAGAAATTCTTTTGATGTGGAAACATCTGTCCTTGAGCGGTCATGAATACGAAACAAATGGTCGGTTAAGCTCCTCAGATTTGAGAATTTATTAGTGCATAGATAGCATTGGAGATCCAAGTTATTCCCGGATGGTGTGACAATGAATATACCTATCTCGGAATCTTTTAGAAATTTTTTACAGCCTGCATTGCCATAAGCATGATTTTCCAATTCCTCAAAATCTGAGAACTCTTCTAGACATCCAGAACATCTTCGTAAAGCAGATGTTTCCACAACTGAACGAGCAATTTTCAATAGACTAGAAACTGATACGATGTGATTTCTTTTCATATGACGTCTAAGAGATTTAGGATGGGCCATGCAACGCTTTTTACACTCTGGCACGAGACAACAATATTTCCCATTGGAGCTGAGAAAAAATGTCGAAATTAGCTTGTACACATTTGTTTTAATAATGGAATCTTGTTTTCGTTCGAGTTCTTCTCTAAAATATCTTGAATAGAAAATATTACTGAAAGACAACCAGCGGATTTGACTTGGTTTGTCGCCCAGAAACTCTTCTGTTGGAAGGGTCATAAAATTAGCCTGTGCACATGTGATTTTAGATGAGTGCCCTTCCTTGTGCACAGGCTCAGCGTTTTTTGAATGCTTTGATGTGTGAGATGTCAAACCACTTTTATCTCCCAATTTTGAGTTTTTTGTTCGTTGGACTGATTCTGTGGCATCTGGTGATCGATCTGGAATAAACATTTTTGCTTTCGATTTGTGTTTTTTACGCATGTGACAAGCAAGGGCAAAGCCATTTGCCATGAGTCGCCCACATATATGACATTCGTTTTTAATACTCTCATTATGGCTAGGCACATCGTTAGAATCTTGTGACGACGATTCAGACAATAAATTTTCTAGAGGGTTGTTCCTGGAACGATCTTTCTCTGTCTTACGTGTTTTCAATGAAACCTCGTCTTCCGGAGAATTACTTGAAAGTTTTCTAAGGTCAATACTCCTCTTTAATTTATTTTTAATTTTTTTGGCAACTTGAGATTTTGCTGGACGGGAATTATTTCCAGATGAAGAATGTCTCATCTTTGGAGCTTTTTGCTCTATTTCGGCAATTTGACCAGCAGATGACAAATCTGATTTGAATTCGGTTCCAACAATTCGTTCAGCATGTTTAATCAAATCAGAGTACTCTCCAACAAATTCTCGTTCAGATGTAGCAGCATCATGCTTTGAATCAAGACTGTGTTTTCTATGTGATGGTATCTTCCGTTTTTTTCTCTCATCTGTCTTCATGTTTGGATTTTCATCATGTTTAGTAGTGGAAATTTGAGCAGAAGAATGCTTAAGCTTTTGCATAGAATCTGAAGAAGTACTTCGACTGCGTTTTTGCTTTTGTGTAGTTGGAGTAGGTACAGATGCTAAATCAGATGACAATTTATGCAGTTTTTTGTTTGGCCTAGTTTGACTTGTTGATTCAAGTGTATTTACATCAGCCAGTGCTTCTTCAAAACTGATGTTTTTATTTGGTGTTTTCTGAGCGACAGACGAGACAGAAACAGTTTTTGGAGGTTTCATAAGTTTCAACTTTTCACTGAAAAATAACAGTGAAAATCAATTGAATATTCAAAAAATATTTGCAACAAATAGAACCTACTTTATTTAAATAATTAGGATGAGGGCCAGAGATTGTACCAAGTTCATAAATGATCAGCATTGTTAATTTTACAATTGCATCCAAAAAAATATATACATAAATTACAGAAAATCTTATAACTTCAAACAAGTTTGGAAAACAGTCTCAGAGTTACCGGTAAGTATGTGTCGGGAGTTAAATTTCTTATCACAAGTCAGAGCTGGAGTCGTTTTTTTTTATATTTCAATCCGGCTCAAGAAAAGGATGGGACCGTTATTGCGATTGCCAAATTTTGGATAAGTTTGAGTTACGATTTAGAAGAATATATGTCCACATTTCACTGTCACATGACTGATTTGCAAGCCTGTAACTGTATCAAAGCAACATCTTAATTATAGGTAACCAGTGTAACCACATGTTGGAAGATCAATTTCCATTTAATATCACTTGCTGCCATTATAAGCGCAAACGAGTGTAGTCTCTGCAAATTTTAATTAATCCCAGCCTGGACTGGGTTAGACGATAAAGAAAATTTCAAACAGAAGAAATTAATACCTTTTAGGCTGTTCCACTTCTGATCTATCAGTTGTCATTTCTTTTGGATTTTTATGAGAGGTAGAAGAGACTTTGGATTGATATTTTTTCAACGACTCTTTGTTAGGTTTCTTTACTTGTACAGGTTTAGATACTTTGACAGCAGAACTAGCCTTCAAAGCTTTCACATCAGTTCCAATCTGCACTCCATCTAATGACAATCTAGTCATCACAGTGGGACTTGAATTTAATTTTGAATTGCATGGCAGGTTTTTATCAGTAGGGGTGTGGTTGACTTCTGAACTCTGGTCAGAAATATTTGATGGAGTGGATTTTAAAATTTTCTTAGTTTTTAATTTTGTGGACTTTTTCTTTCTGTTGTTAGCATTATTTTGAATTCCTTCTTCATGTTCTGTTTCATTAACAGAGATGACAGGTGTACCTGTCTTAGAAGTAAGAGATGCACCTTGATCAATCCTCACATTATTAGATTCCAAAAATGAAAAATCTACAGAACTAAAAGCATCTTCCATGCTGTCGGCATCAAAAGGTTCGGACTTAGAGGGTTTCTTCGTCAGTGAATGCCAAGAAGTTTGAAGATATTTACATGCAGCATTGTAATTGAAATTTGTCAAAGGATTTTCAAACAAAGTACGCACACATTCAATCAAAAATGTCCTCGGCTCAGTATTACCACCAGTATCAGATGGCTTATCTTCTATTTCTTCATGAATGAATTCATCAACCCTTAGATACCACATTCTGGAGCTGAGCAACATATTATTATCTACCAAAGTCTTGTCGGGTGATACAACTTTTTCAGTTTCTTTTACAACGGCCTCTTTCGCTGTTTCAGCCAATGTTTCTGAAACCGTTTGACTCCTCCGATGACGGAATTTGATGTGTGCCACAATTGTATGTTTATGTTGAAAAATGCGGCCACAATCGCCTATCGGACATACATAACCAGGATGCCTAATTGATTTTGATTTTTCTGAAGAAATAATCGCCGGAGGTAATGGAGTTGATAAATCATTTACAGGTTTGACAGAAGATTTCCCTACTTTGTATGTTGTAACTTGACTTTGTTCATCAATTCTCACAGTGGGTGTATCCTTTTGTAGCAAATTCTTTGATTTAGAAGGAGCACCTACTTTTTTGCCACTTTTTGATTTCCGTTGCCTTCCCAATTTGTGATGTGATACAGAGTCACTCGAGGATTGCTTCAAGCTTTCATTGAAGTTTTTCGTGTGCATTGTCACCACACTGCCAACTTCATTTTTCAACAAGTCTTCATCACTTTGTGAATCTGGGAATTTCTTTGTAACTTCTGAATCTACTTCCATCACAGCATCCATACTTTCAATTGGAGCAGCCTTTTTACACAATGCCAAATCGTGAGTTTTAGAACTTGTTGACACATCACTCTCCAATGTGTTAGTCGCATTGTTGTTAACTTCTGTTTTAACTTCTGAGCTGCCAGAAAGCTTTTTATCCATCCCCACTGATCCACTATTTTTGACGAAGCAATCTTTCACTCTTGTTTTTTCATTGCTTAATGTTTCTGCTTGCACTTCCCCTATTGGTATATCAGCATCCATGACATTTTTAACACTTTCCACAGAACTTTGCCGTAATAATGTGGAATCATTCGAACTTGTTGGTGAACCATTATCTTCCTCAGAAATTCTTAATTGTGCCTTGTGCAATAAAACCAGATTATCACTTGTACTTGTCCAACGTGCACTCCTCGTTACACCGAGAGATTTCACAAATGCCCTGAAATACAATTTGTGAATATTTATACAATTTGAAAAAACAACTGAAGATGTGAATAAGTTGTTTCATTACTGAAAAACCTTATTTTTTACTTTCAAAACTTGTGCTTGCGCTTGTGCAAAAATATAAGCTAGATTGGACCAGGCTTGCACAATATACTGCCCGCGAGTCGCATCTGGTTCACAAAATCTTTTCATGTGGCCTGCGAATTGTACAAAAATATAGGCGATTGGTGCTAGAAAGTTAAGTCTAGATAAATTCATCCAAATGTTCGAATTACAATTTCAAGTAACACCCAAGTTGCCCTTTTCCATATAACTTATCTCTAAGTACTTTCGCATCCATGGTATGATTTTGGCACTATGATTCTTTCTTATGTCATAATATCTTGTGCACTGTAAGGAACAAATGTATTGAAGGGCATGCAATAATAACGTTTGATTCCAGCATTTGTCAAAAAAAACGCAATGACCAAGAAAAAAGGAATGAAAACGGACAAATAAATAAAACAAACAACTGAATGAATATTTATAAGGAGCTTGTCACCGGCAAAGATGCCACATGTCGCATTAAAGGCTGGCTGTGTCGAATCAATCATGTGTTACACTGTTAATTTGCTATATTATGAAAAATATGACACAATACAAGTTATATGATAATAATGATACCTTGCGGCCTGTGAGCAATTGTTTGTTCATTTGAGTTGTGCACGCTCGATTAGACAAACAAACAAGACATGGTACAATGAATATTATTGTTACAATTGTATAGAAATTATTATATCGAAATTCTTTACCTTATTTCCTCCTGATGCCAATTATGCTTGGATTTGAGATGTGTACACAAATAATTCATTCTCCCAGACATAACATTACACAAAACAACAGGACAAGTCCATCCATATCGCTTCTTTTTTCTACTTTTCTTGTGAGGTTTTTCAAGTTTTATCTTTTTTTCCTGTTCGCAAAATATAACACAATCCATAATGCCATTGTTTTTAAATTTTTTTGTGATAACATATTAGTGACTATCGCCAAAAACATGGCTGTACAAAATGTTGGATCATTTTCGATGACATATTGTCGAAAATACAGTGAAGTCTTCCTACCCAAAACACTAAGTTTGTCAAATATAAGTTTGTTGCACAAAGGAAGAATCAGATAATCCAAAACTTGCGGCAACTATAACAAAAGACAACATATGACAAAAATTATAAATACCTTGCATGATTCACACAACTTTTCAGTAGTGCACAATTCACATTTTTCAATCGACTTCTGTTCGGTGACTACATTATTGTCATCTTGTTGTACTTCAGATCTTGGAGGGGAAGGTGACTGATCTGCACCTGAACTTGCGGTTTCTAAAAATTAAAACAGCTCCATCTCAATCACATGGAAGAGTTGAAACGTTAGTTTAATCGGCGGCTTTGTGGTTAAAGCATTAGACTTAACTATGAAAGCATTGAGGGTTTAAAAAAAGGAGCCTTGTATTTATCAGTGGTAGCTTTTGCAGAGCCTTGGTCAAATTACATAAGTGAAGTGAAATAAGTAAACCATTATTAGGAATACAATAGGATTTACATAAATACCCCTGGTGAAAGAAGAGCCTATAAGGCGGCTTAATCATATTATGTCAAACCATGTCCTCTTGTCCAGTTACCAGTCCATGTCTGATATGGGGATTAGTTAGTCAGTTGTTTATTTCAGATGCAGGGACTTGGTGATGGAGGAAGCCGTTACCGACCAGCAGTTATTATCCATCTGAGATTCGAATCTTCGAACCGAACCCACTCAAGTTAATCAGAGGTGCGATGGCAAGCGTATTCCTAAAGCTTAGCACGATGCACCACACAAACTATCTCACCTTGAATGATTCTTTTATAATAAATTGTTGTGTATCATAAATAAGGTGTGGTATTGTTTTTTTCATAAAATCATGTTAAAATATCAACCGTTCAATTTGAGTATTTCAACTTTTGATTAATAAAAGTCACCATTTGTGTCAGGGCTCTTTCCTTCATTCAGCAGAAATGTAACATCTTCAGGCGATAATTTAGACAGGCATTGTTCATTAATTTGATTCCAATCAGTCATTTGAATATCAGATCCACTGGGAAATTGTTTTTGTATATAAAGCATCAATTCTGTCCTGAGAAAAGAAGAAAAATGATCATCAATAATCGTATTAGTTCTTGTATGCTACATTATAAAACTATATTACATCAAGTAGTGACAGTACAAACATATTCGGAGTTAGCAAAACAATAGTTAAAAATCCTCCATTGCTTAACTTCATCCAGTTAAATAATCCAATCCCTCATAGTGAGGCAATAGTCTAAAGCAGTGGTTCCCAAACTTTTTTGACAATCGCCCCCCTATAGTAGTTTATACAACTTCAACTATTTCACATTAAAATAATAAAAACAAGGTTAATTTTCCCAAACTTATAATAATGATTTTTGTACATCTCATTTATTCGTACAGCATGATGACATGCACCAAAATACTTTGGTAAAATTCATCCCCGATTCCTCATCCTACCACGGCCTCCAGTCCGATCACCAGTCCATAATTAATCAGCCATTTGTTTTTGGATTCATGGACTCGGATGTGGAAGAAGCCGTGATCGACTATCGGCTACGGCCCAGGGGACGGCAAATTTTATGTCGCTCGCGGGACAAAATTCAGGGTTGCCATTTTTTTGCGGGTCGCATAAATTTTTTGAAATTAAAAACGGAACAGTGCGCGAAAACTGCGACAATTCGTGAACTCAACTCAGTCGTCTTATTAAAAAAATATTACAATGACATTTAATGTGGCACTGTCTTGTTGCTGCATCACGCTAGATAGCTTTACGACGCCAAGATTGGAATATTTTCTAAATGGGAATCACTAATCCTAGTTGTTTGCTTTAGGATATAATAAAATTTAGTCCGAACGTGTCTCACGATAAATTCTGTTACGTAAAAAAATGTAATTTACTCCTCGAGCGTAGATTATAAATAAAAAAATTTCATCGTCAAAACCGCCATTTGAATGTTTACCCGGACATAGACTTCCTTGTTTACTTCGTAACATTGGCCAATCAGCAAGATGCAAAAAACGTGACAATGCCCCCTTTCACATCCGCTCTGACACGCTCACTCAGACAGATTCTCAGGCGTGGTCGTGAACATTACCTCAGTTTCGCGATTTTGAATTATGTTCGTTAGTTTTTAGTTGTTTTTCGGAAATTTAAATATAAATCAAATAAATCAATGATTACTTTGTCTTCTTATGAGTTTCAGTTAAATTACAGGAATCAAAAATTAGTGTAGAAATAGCTGTGAAATTCTTTATCGGTACTTTTAAAAAACAGATTGTTGAATGGTGTGTATTAGAATGACAGTTTGAAACAAATACCCCATTTTACAGGCAACAACTCGCGAAACCACACTTAAAATAAACACCGAAAATTTTAAAATGGTAAAGTATGGGAAGAATTTTCCGCGATCAAAGGTCGGGGAAGGTCCATTCAGTGAATCGTCCCGGGCCAGATTATTTTACTCCGGCCGTATTTTGCCGACCACTGGGATACGCAACTACCGTACCTTACTGCGAAGACGAGTCCAGAAATCCTTTCGCGTGTGATAATCGCCCACGTGATTCAAGTCTGCGAATGCACACAGATTACAGAATTAGGTGCGCCGAACATAAAACAGGTTTCGCGAAATCGCCCCCCTATCGCCCCCTTCAACTTTTTCGCCCCCTTCTGTATCGTTTTCGCCCACTGGGGGGGCGATATCGCCCACTTTGGGAATCACTGGTCTAAAGAATTCATGAATCAAAAGCAGATAGAAAGTGAAATATCCCACATACTCAAAATATTGAATAATTACATCTCTTAACAAGATATGCCAAATCTAACAAAATCTAGGAAAATTTTTCCCAAAAACCATTTAATTCTTTTAAGACATCATGCCCAAAAGCTGTTAGTCATATGCAGATGGGTAATCAAATGTGGTTAAAATATGAAATTTAATTGTGACAAAAGCTGCTGTTGCATGCAACTGGTAAGACCTTAGCGGAACACAAAGAGTTTACTGAAAAATTGGCAGACAAGCAAAATTGGGAAACAATAAGCCTTGTGTCAAAACTAAATTTAATCGTAATCTCAACAAATTCCTCGAGTTGTTTTTTAGATAAAACATCAAAATTCGATTTTAGTTTGGTCGTGGCAGCATCAGGCGGGCCAGATTGAAATAACCAAGGGGCCATATTTGGCCCGGGGGACGTAGTTTGCCCATGTCAGATTCAAAATATAACAGCATGGAACTCTGAGGGAATTTGAGGAACTGAAAATTTGAAATTAATTGGTCCAATAGTTTTTGAGAACAGTGATTTTTCCTGGCAACATTTTAGCAAAACGAATCATTCAAATTAAAATATATGTTCCAAAGGCGTCACAAAAGACTGTAAAATACATACATATGCTTGTTACACTGAGTAAAGCAATATATGGTGTATTTCTCAATAATCTGTCATAAACCACATGACTAATATGTGAGTATCTTGCTTCACACGTTTTGTTCTGGTCAGTTGCGGGTCAGTTCGATTCAGTAAATAAGGGAAGTCTCTGATATTCTCTGATTACATGTGTATTGCATTCAAGTAATCAATTAAAGTGGCATTTACATCATTCAATGGGAGATTTACATCCTCGAATTGAAGTGGAATAACATAGTAAAATAAAAACATTTGTTCAAGAATTAACGATGGTATAATAAAATATATATCAACCTCAACTCTGTTCCTTTCGCAGAGTCAGTATTCAAAGGATTATTATAGGCATCTGACAAGCAATAATAAGTGTCGATGCAAGGTTCCAAATAGAACACACACAGGAGACAGAGTCTGCACACCTGAAATAAAATTACCCATTAGGAAAAAAAGGAAAATCACATTTAACAATTACAAACAATGAGTTAAAAATGTGACTCAATTTTAAAATACAATGAAAACAATGAATGACAATATAGTTTCAATACCCAAAGAACATAAATCAATGTTATATTGTTTGTGTGAAATTTATCTTATCTTATTTTATGTTATACATATATGATATTGGAAATATGACGAAATTATTACAAAATTGAAATTAGAAATAAGTTTAGCTGCAGAAAATAATTTCAGGAAACTATATTGTTGAAATAAATTTACCATACAAGTATACAACTTACTGTCGATTTGGGAAGCAATTTTGCAATTGTTTCCAAAATTTTTATTTTATTTGAATTGTCATTATCTTCTTCATCAGAAAGAAAACGCAATGCACACATCAATATGTCGACACAAACTTCCCGACTCACATCTCCAATCTACAGAGAAAAAAAATAGTTTCTCAAATTATTTTTTTATCAAAATTATAATTTTACAGAGAGCAGTCCCTGTTATATACATATTTCGGGAATTTGCTGCAGTATATTTATTAAAAACAAACACAAAATATCGAAACCATCGAAAATGTAGATATTAGATTCCTTGAATCGACATTCAAAAATTCACTGACAAACCTTGAACTTGAAAATAATTCTACTTGCAATGGCATGGTATTTGTGTGGCAAACAAAAGCTATATTGATTTGTTATATAAATTCAACTATGACTAAATAGAGAACAGACAGTAAATTTCTTGCAGTATTAAATAAACAATTGAGACTTTTATTCTATACCAATAATAGCTCATAAAATTGAAATGGATAAGACTATACCACATCCATGAAAATATTGGATGCACATATACATATAGAATCTACAAGAGCATTCTCACATTATCAACAAAGCAATCTGCTAATTGGTTTTTAAACATTCTATGACAGCAAACCAAACAAAACCATCTTTTCGTAAAATAACAAATTAGGGTTTCATTATCAGTGATTCTTTCTTGTTTGTTTTTCAATTCACATACGTGACAAACCTCACGACAGTATTACCAAGTACTCAATGAAAATTTATAGGACAATGCTACTAGATATGAAACGAAACCAAATAAGGCAGAGGTAATAGATCGCTTGAATGAAGGTTTAGAACCCAAAGCACAATTTCATTATAGGTAAACAGCTGATATATCATTAATTGAAAAACTTATTTTTTTTTAATAATTAATAATTATTGTGGATAAGGGAGAAAAATATAACATTTTATGAATGTTTGTCACTAGCTTGGAAAATTCAAATTTTATATATCATTACACAAACATTCATGCAAACACAAGTGTACTAGAGTAGTGATTTTCAACTGGTGCTCTGCGAAAGATTTTGTTCTGGGCCAAATTGTTATGAGAAACTGAGTACTTGAATTATGGCTCTATTCAGCATTTTGTGGTCTGACCTTGGAAAAACTCTTAATCGCACTTAGCTCTTTGTAGCTTTGGACCAGAATTTTATTTGGGTCTTATTCCAACTTGAGCACAAGCTATTGGCCTTTCGCTGTTTCGTTTTCGTGTCAATACTCATTGAGGTGAATATTATTTAATTAGACATTTTTCGCGAAAAATTTGAAATTTCCATTTGGTGTTCCAAAAATAATGAGTTAAAAATCACTTTACTAGAGGCATGATATCGCAAGTGTTTTGCGATAAGTGTTCGATGGGTTTGTGAGTCTAACAACATTAGAGATATTCGCTAATTCTTTCTCATATCTACTACCTGAATATATAAACTATTTTTATGAAATTAATAATTAATACCATTTCCCAAATAACTTGCATCAGAATGAGATAGTGAGTTACAGATGATGGTCCATCATTCTCTTTTGACAACAACATTTTAATATAAGACAGGAAGTCTGATGCTGAATCAGAACCAGACAATTTAATTTCGCACCATTTGTTCGTCATTTTTTCACTGTAATAAAATAACACAGTTTAACAATGAAAAAAAATTACCATCTATATTTTGTCACATAAGTTTATATGTTGATAAGTAGTGATATAATCTTACATGAGAATAGGTAGCATTAGGTTAACCATGATTTTTTAAAGGGCAGTGAAATAATCTTATATTATAAACTTATAAAAATACTAAGATTCCAAAAAAGACAATATTCAATGATATTGACTGCACAGAAAAACTCTGTCACACCTAATTTATAGCTAATAGCTATATTTGCATGTACTCTCCAGATTTCCAGATAAAACTTGTACTGTACATGTGTGTATGAACCAACAAAGTGTATGTATATTGGTGTTTTCGGTTCGCGTAGAAATTAGTGATTATTTGCATTAGAATTTTTCGACCCATTGCTATAACATGAAATCGGAAAACAATGAAAGGGTTTGGTCAAAGGGTTCATTTTATCAATATCTTTTCCATATAAAATTTTCTTGAAAAAAAAGGTTTTCCTGAAACCACTCTTGCTTACTCTGTAATGTAAGCAAAGAAACCCAAGTATGAGTGACTATAGAATTAGCCTCTGTATAGTGACCAAAAATAATAAGAGAAGAATATAGAAACATTTTCTAAAATAGCTCAATATACAACTCCCTATGCACCGGTTGGCCATAGGATATGAAATACAACTTATGCTGATGAATGCGAAGTATTGCAACACAGTCGGGAAACATGTTTCGATTATGATGGCAACTATATATCATTTCTCAGAAACGTATTGATGCAGTTATTACTCACATGGTTGATGTGACAATATCGTTTTCCCAGATATAAGCAAGCAAAATATCACAAAATGACGACATTTTTTCATTTTCCCCTGCTTCTTCCAGTTTTTCTAAAACCTGCAAAGTGAAAAAGCTTCAACATAGAGTTCTACGTAAATATGTCATATTACAGTTTCAAAATAGAACCGGCCGACTAACAAAATTACGAACAAAATGTAAATTGATAAAAATAGAAGAGATAGAGAAATCCAGAAAGAATCAATGCAATTCAGAAAGTAACTCTGACTGAATGCAAACTGAATTTTGATTACCGTAGTATTCTAGTTTATTACTATGTACATTCTCCAACAGTGATGTAAAATGTGACCAGAATGAAAAAAAAAGGGAATGTTATCTGTAAAAAAAAAATTAAAAACATTTACTGAAGGGCAGGACAAAAAACAGAACAACTATTTATTCCTTTCATCTAATAGCAGCAATACTGAAAACACGTAGGAAATGGAAAAAGATTGATTTCCTAGCATTTATAATTAATAAACAAACCGTTAATGAAACATCAAAATCGAAATATTTGCAGTTTTCCCACAAATCTTCATTACAGTTGAACAGAATGTGCATTTGAAAAGTTTGTTGAAAAATGCCGCTTTCACGAAACTGTAGAATGAAGTTAGCAATTAGCATTATCAAAGTTAGGTGAGATTAAATGATGAATACCAGGGTTCGCAATTCAAATATTTAAGAATTGATATTTTTACATTACATTTTGTTACTTGTCAAATATGATATTTAGTGAGTTTTATATCACCTAAGATGACAGAATACCTTTTTATGCTTCATTGCAGCCAATATAAGTTTGGATGCAGAATCATTTTTTGAACATTGTTCAAGAGCGTGCAATCTTGCACACAATGCCTCCTCATTTTCTTGAAGTAAGAGGTCACCAACTAAATATGTAAAAGATCAGAAAAAGATTATGAATCAAATAAGATACAATGTTTCCAACCAGATTCCAGATAAATTTTGGTAAAGACAGGTATTTGCTATTTAATATAACATAAACTAGATAGAGGCTAAGCTTTGAATTTTATTTTCTTATTAAAAGGCAGTCAAATCCTAGCGAAGTGCAAGAAAAAACATTGCTAGTATAGGCTATTCATTTATTATCGAAATATATGCTTTTCAATTAGTTTCCACATAACAGCCTTGCTTTAAGCTTCATAAACAATAAATGTATTAGGCTACTTCATGAAATGTATTAATTCCTAATTTCCTTTCATTAAAAAAACGTTGACATTTTTACCATTTCCTGACATGGCAATTTATGGTTATGATTAGTTTTGATGTCCTGAAAATAATTGGAAAATACAATCGATGATTGTCAGTTATTTTAAAACTGAATGTTTTAATTGACTGCTTACGTTTTGTAACATCGACATCCTCTTCCTGTAGTAGAGATTGAAATATGGGATGCCCCCAAGCACCATTAATTGCAAGATTATGAAGTACCAAAAAGTTTTCCTTAATCTCTCTGAAAACAAAGTACACTGGTAATTATCCCAACTATTTAAATCAGGGGTGGCCAACCTTTCACATACCATGCGCCACGTTTTGAACATAATGTTTCAGATGCGCCGTAAATCTCTTGTATTCGCACGCCTAATGTCCGCTTCTTGTTGAAAATATATAAATTTATAATACACACACATATATACACACGTATATGTAGTTTTTACAATTTACAACTTCACATGAATAGAAATTAAGCAAGGAAGTATAATAAATGAAACTGATCAATTTTATTTTTAAGTACCGCCTTTATGAGACTTTTGCTGCTGTTTTACTTTCGCCAGTTTTTTTATTCTTGGAATTAAATTTGTTACTGAGAGGAGCAGTGCATTCTTCAAATTTAAATCTGTAAGTCTTGACCTCGCTTTGCTTTCATGGCAGAAAATGTTTGTTCACATCTATATGTCGTTCCGAAACGACATATAAAACCCTGGGCAAATTTTCTCAGTTCTGGAAAATTTTCACGGGGTAACGATTGCCAGAACTTGATCATGTCAGATGCACTTGGGACTGAAAAAAGCTCATCAAATTTAATTGTGACGCCATGCTTCAAGTAAAAACTACAGCCTTCCTGAAAGTAGGAGAAAAACGCATTCTGTCTTATGAGCATTACGCAATAAAGCTGTTTTTAACAACGAAGAGAAAAAGGTACGATTAAGAAGTAAAGTTAGGCGTAATATTGTGACAACAGGCCTTTAGTATCAATATCTACTCTACCCTTGATTCTAATCGGCCTTTGCTAATCAGCTGTTTGGCCTAGCGTCGCGAGATTTTACTCCAGGCTTCTTCGAGATTAGTACTTGCGTCACAGCAAGCGATTTTACGCTCCGCTTTTGTTGACAACGGTCATTTGAAGTTTGGATGAAAAAGGTGGTATTTAGGGGTCATTTTCAGCATGTTGTGGGTTGATTTATAATTCAATCAAAATAATCAAAAGTCACCATGTAAATCGCAAAAAAACGGCTTGGCGTGGAGAAGCCAAGTGCAATTAACGATTTTGGCATGAAAAGGGTTAAAGATGCAATGCGCCACCTCTAATCATGCAATGCGCCACGTTTGGCGCATGCGCCATAGGTTGGCCACCCCTGATTTAAATGGTACTCCCGTAGTATGTGTACCAGGTTAGGGTTAAGCCATAAAATTATGCTGATTTTGTAATTTTAGTTCTATTACGAGTTCGGGAACTGTATGTGTTAGGCATGTGAATATACACCCGTCCATAGGCTTTTGTACCTTTACACAACTTGATTTAAAGTAGGCGAACAAAATTAGTTACCTCCATATTAGTACACATACTTCTGAAGCGCCATTCGAATTACGGTATATAACATGACTATAATGAGCATTTACACCTTGATTATCTCTATAAATACAGAGAGTGCACTACCACTAGCATACACACACAATCAACAATATTTTCTTTTGCACAAATCTGTACATCAGCAATTCAGCTAATCATTCGAATACAAATAATGTGACATTATTAAACCACATTAGATTTTCTTTCAGAACAAGAGAAGCTTTGGTCATATTCTTGCTATGTCAGTGTGGGTTGCCGTGGCTCAACACAGTTTTAGAAAATTTGGTTTGACAGATAGGAACTTGCTACAGCTACATATTCAGAAAGGCATCATAAATTATAAAATAAAGATCTCATTTATCCGAATTCTTGTATTTTAATATTTATTTACTTAAACAATGGCAAGAAACTGCACAAGAAAAATAAACAATTCGCACTTACTTGATTGCATTTTTTTCCTCTAACCAAGGTCTGAGTAATGTATCAAATTTTTTCAAAGCATTCGTATCAGGAGGTTGCTCAATGCTGGTCATAGCTAGCAAAACCGACCTATCGACACAAAAATGATAAACCAGTTTGTTATATTTTTAATTTTGACGTTCTAAGCATTTTGATAGATATCCCTAGTACTACCATATAAACATTCTGCAAATTTTGTTAAAGTCATTTTTCTGAACAACACCATTCAGATAAATTTAAGATTAATTTAACCTAAACTATTCTGATAGGAATAATTTATAAAAATAGAAAGACAAAACATGGAATGATTCAAAGATGGTATTATCGGTACCTCAATTCTAACAGTGCCGGCTATCGAAAAAAAATGAAGACATAGCAAATAGTAGCCTATATACTGGTAAATGGTAATGCTTTTTGATAAGTCATTCAAATTCATCTACTGTAAACCGAAGACAATCTCTTCAAAATCAGATATTACCGCCAGCCTCATGGTACTTGGCTCTTAGTTATGCAGTCATATTTGACTAAACAAGCTAGTGCAGTTGAGTATCTAGGGCAGTGCTTCAACCGGGTATACCCAAGTGTATATTGGACCATAAGTTGGGTATACAACTGATAAAGGGTATACGAAGGGTGTACAGCCTAAGACAGGGATTCTAAACTCTTATATAATAAATTATAAAATATTCAAGCAGAGACAACAATGCAAACGCGGCGCACATGAAATATAAAATGTCATTTACGCAAAGAACCGACGTGAGCACAATGTTACATCACAAATTATATAGACAATGCTGTCACTTGTCTGGGTTGGTGATTTCGGCTGCCATGCACTTTGTCTGATTTACGTTGAACATTATTCCCATTGGCGCTAAGGAAGTAAAATTTACAACTTGCGGACACTAGCCTATTAAATTGCATGATGGTATTGCAGTACAATATAATATGCTTACAATTTAATGTTTATTTAAGCCTTAAATAAACATTGGTATTTGTAAGGTATACAAAGTTCTTGAAAAATTGTAAAAGGTATACCACGATGAAAAAGGTTGAAGAACACTGATCTAGGGTAGGGTATCGACAGGGTGAAAAGTGTTATTCGTAGTGGATTATCAGTAGCATTGTGCATTTCTTTATGTATATATATTTATTGGTATTCGTTATTCACCATATACTTTCTTTTCATACAGTGGGTAAATCATTGTTTACTGATAGCCTAATAAACAAATAGTGATTTATACTTATCTAGTAAGTAACATGTTTCAATTGAATAATTTCAAGTTGAAATAAATGAAACTCGTATTCATTACTAAACTTTGGGACCTCCTGAAGTATGCGCAACAAGATGGCGCACAACCTGAACTCAGGTTGTGTACCAGGTTAGGATTCAGGTTATGCAACATCTTGGTGCGCATACTTCAGGAGCACCCAACTTTGTGCTCATATTATTTTCCGCACATGCATGATGAAATCTGTTAAAATCAATTTCTTGTAACTTCAAACTTGAAACCTTACCGCATCAATTCCTCCCATGTTGCATTAATAGGTTTAGACGATGGCTTGTTGTTTAAGCGCTTGGCAAAAACATTGAGTGCTGCTCCATAAGCATATAGAAGTCCAGATGATTTATCACTATAGAACTCTATCTGCTTTCTGAATTCCTTTAATAAGCAAAAAAATGAATAAATTAAGACGAGAAATCGCATGCGACATGATAATTTAACCCACCATATATCAGTAGGGCACAGTGTTCCGATTCCAGGATGTCCTGCCATTCGGTTCAATAAAACAAACACTCTATTTGTCTTTGAAACGAGGGCGTCTGACACGATGGCAGACGCGGCAGATCATGCCATGCTTGTCTTTTAATGTGGGGGATCTTCAAAGAATCGAAAAACTGTGCCGTACTGTATATCATTCATGTTTATGGGCACGAATGACATTCAAATGTATTATTTGATGAAAAAAAATTCAGTACATACAGTATATATCGATATTCGATATCATAAATATTTTCAAATAATTTTTATATCTATTTTTACATTCAGATGGGCTCAATAACTGCACAAAACAACGTGAAACAAAGCTTCCTATTCATACAACATGTGCGTAGATTGTAATTTGTAAAAACTTCACTGTTGAATATTGCATATTTTAAAACAATCATACTTCACACTACATATTTGATAGAAACCTCTGAAAGAAAATAGTTTAAATAGTTAATTTAGGTATTGAAAAGTACTGAAAATATAGGACACATAGCATAACACAAGTAAAGGAAGGTTGCTGGAAATCAGAAAATAATTACTTTGGACACTATGTCCAAAAAACCACATAGGAATTAATAAAACCCCAACAAAGAATCCCTATATAATGCAATAAATGCATCAATTTTCACCACCAGAAAATTGTTCCAGCTAGGAATCAGAATCTCCGCTGTTCATAGTACTAAATCGCTGCTTCAGAAGTATGTATACCAATATGGAGGTAACTAATTTTGTTCGCCTATTTTACATCAAGCTCTGTAAAGGGACTGAAACCTATGGACAGGGACAGACTGTTCCCAAACTCGTAATTCAACTAAAATAGGGAAAATCGCAATGAAATCAAGGACTAACTCTAACCTGGTACACATACTTCGGGAGTACAACTAAATCTGACAAATGAAAAATGCAAACCTGTTTAAAATTTTGACACATTCGTTCATCTGTATCCATGGTTATTGATATCTCAGATGCAATCTACACAGATCTATCACAGAACTTGTTGATGTAGCTACAATATGCAGATGTGACCAAACAATATCAACCCAAATGAAGAATTTCCATCACATGGTAGACCATTAGGTTATAAACTTTAAATTGTAATAAAGACACCTGTAAGATGTAACATTAAAAATGGAATAAATTAGTATATATAACAATGCATCATTGGTGGGAGCGTATTTTTTTCAAGCACTACCAGCCCATAGAAAAAAGACAAGAGAGTGGGGCCCACTGGAGTAGGTGCGATCATTGGTGCAAATTCTAAAAAAAAATGGGGTGGTATGGTTTAGTAGGCCTACCACATGCACTTCTAGTTGGCCTGGCTCAGCAATTTTTGCATATGTCATTCCTAACCCCCACCTGACTATGTCACCAAAAAATTACGTCATTGCGGCGTCACAGTGGCGTAATAAGTCACTCCAAAGTATGCGGATGGTCGTTCGGAATGCGCACACCGATCTCCTGAAATCGAGCAAGTTATTTTTCTCGTTTTCGCGTCGCAACGATCACAATATGAGAGATTGTCGGCGTAGCGAGTTGTTATCGGCGGCGCAGATGCCATTTCGAGCGATCTTAATTATACTTAGGCAAGCTCTATGACGTGATGGTGGCGTCGCAGTGACATAATGTTTGGATGACATAGTCAGGTGGGGGTTAGGAATAACATATGCAAAATTTGTTATGCTATGCCCACTAGAAGTGCTTGTGGTACTAAACTATACTAGACCAAAAAGAGTGGTGCAAACTCTGAAATGCAATCATTTATCTGCATTACGTCATTCAATTAAGCCCTCTCATCACCTCTCCTCGCCCGCCCCGGGCTAAACATCTTAATCCAGTACAGCACACTATACAAATCGGGTGACATTGTCCCGTTTCAGAGAAACCCATTTTACAGATGATCAGACACCCCTCCTTTGGGAGACGTCTGGTCTTTGATGTCCCTCAATATCGTTAATAATACAGTATTATGAAGTTGCGCAAAATACTACAAAAAGCGCAATCTAGTAACATCATCATTGAATTCCTTGAGAAAAAATAATCCGATTTACCGAAGGAGAAAAAATTTTACCGTAGCATTCGACAGATTTTTTTGCAAAAAACGGCAATTTTGGTCATGTGACGGCTGCGATTAATTTAGATTATTATTGAGACAAGCATGACGCGATATGAAGCTTCTGACGTGGTCTCAGACGCCCCTCGTTTGTGAGACACATGGAGTGATTGCTTTATTGGGCCAAATGAAGGGAAATTCTTGGAATTTGGATGTGTGCTGTACTGTAATCCTATATTGCACAATACAGAGAGAGGCAGCAGAGGTGGAAATGAAGATTTATGGCTGCGATATCCATATTTTTGTTCTTATTACTTTGTTTGAAAAAGCCTTAGAAACAAAGCAAGCTGGAACAGATCTCGATATATAGGTCTGTATCCGGTCTACTTATGTTGCTAATCTAAAGCCAGCATACAATGGATTTTTAACCATTTTGGTGAAGCGAACCCCCAATTTAATATTCCAGAGGCTCGAGGAACCCCGGTAAGCCTCTTTATTACTTTAACTGATAAGATAAGGATTCCATATTTATCCTGCTGTCCTGAAAGAAAGGAAAGCCGATAAGACAGCTCAAACATATGGGGAACCACGGCCTCTCATCCGATTACAAGTTTACGTTGAGTATGGCTGTATGGGGTTAGTTAGCCAGTTATTTGTTCCAGATACATGGACTTGATGGTGGAGGGAATTCGAAATGAACAATATAAGGAGCGGTGAATTATTTGTAAAAACAAAACAATGTACATTTCTATAACAAAATGGCAAATGGATGTATCAAAAAAGAAATACAAATCATGTGTAATCAATTCGCTGGTGAAGAATATACTGATATAGAAAGTGAAGTGTCAAAAGAACTAGTACGGTAACGGAAAACACAAGCATCGAAACAAATAATAATCACACGGGGGAAAAAAAACTTCCACAGAAGTGAAAAAGTTGTGTAAACTAATTACCGGTACGGTACTTAGAGACTTAAGCTCGAAGCTAGGTGCAACGAAAAGCATAACCACGAAAAGATTGATAAATATTTACAACTGTCTTTTATTCATTGAATTACATAAACTAGACCAGGGTCAAAGGGTGGTTTTTGTGGCCCGCGTCGCATTTGCACAAGGGTCTGATGAGGGTAAACAAAAAATCGCATTTGGTGTTGTTCCGTCATAAAAATAAATTATTGTTACATCAATTATGTAATTGAATTGACTGGTGTTATGGCTAGCTGAGGCAACTAGCGGCAACTCTAAATTGTTACCTGGTTTCTATATTTTGGGTCGGGAATATACGGAACCGGTATGGGAGGAAAAATATCACAATGCTTGCTTAATATGATAACTAAAACGGCATTTTCCCCCGTATGGCACTTTCTTCGTTATGAAGATTTTGAAGTGTTACCGGTACCGGTACCGTACATATAGTAAAACTTTTGCACAGTTTAAGTGAGTTTTTTTCGCGTTTTTGCATGTTTTAGCTTGATAAATGACAAATAATGACCAATGTGTTTGGACAAAAAAAGTGTTTGTTTTGTATTTCACTGTTTACCTATTCTTAGCACTATTGCTGTATTGTGGCCCGCGAACAATACAAAAATTATAGTGTGGCCCGCGAGGCCGACAACCTTGGACCACCCTGAACTAGACTATACCTTTATACCGGTAGCCTTCTATAACGTTACAGTATATACAGAAATACCAAGGATACTGGCAAAACAAACTGCTACGGTACCGGTACCGGTACTGTAGATACCGGTACCGGTATCAAGTTTAACGATATTGATAGACTTGATACCGTACTGATAGTAATAAGGCAATAGGTATTTGATATTAGTTGAACAATGCACATGCATTAATATACACTTTAGGATTTGAATGCAACTCGCGGGGACCCATGGACTGTTACCCACGTTCCGGTACCGGTAGCGATGGCGGAATGCCATTTGAAACCACTGCAAATGCAGTTTTAAGTATTCTGTGGCGTCTGCAGCCAAGTGCAGTTTTAAGTATTCTGTGGCGTCTGCAGCTGCAAAACCATGGCGATATTTCCATACCATGGCCGCTACGGCCAAACCTATGGCGACTGACTTTTTAGCTGCCACGAACCAATGACGAGCTGCCGTTACCGCGGCAGCAAATTGAAAACCAATGGCAGGTCAAATTTTGCTGCCGTAACCACGCAGGTAGGGCGTAAAGACAGGGCTGTCCCTCATGGTGACAATTTTGGGTAAGTTGGAACGTTTTTCTTATGGATACAGTTTTGATAGATTTGGGGTTAGGGTTAGGGTTTAAGTAGATATAATTCCGCATGATCAATTAAAATCTGGTACATTAATTTGTGAATATACTGTTAATACTGATTACTGAATACCAAGACTAACATACCACTGAATACTGAATAGCGCTATAAAATCATGGCGAGAGCTGCCGCGGTTTGTTCATGGCAGGAACTGCCATGAAGTGGTAAGAAATGCGCCTCTCTGCAGCTGCCGCAAAACCATGGCGGTATTTCCATACCATGGCCGCTACGGCCAAACCTATGGCGACTGACTTTTTAGCTGCCACAAACCAACTACTAACATACCGCACAAACCAATGACGAGCTGCCGTTACCGCGGCAGCAAATTGAAAACCATTGGCAGGTAAAATTTTGCTGCCGTAACCACGGCAGGTGGGCCGTAAAGACATGGCTGTCCCTTATGGTGACAAATATTGGGTAAGTTGGAACTTTTTCTTATGGATACAGTTTTGATGGATTTGGGGTTAGGGTTAGGGTTAGGGTTTAGGTAGATATAATTCCGCATGATCAATTGAAATCTGATACATTAATTTGTTAATATACCGTTAATACTGATTACTGAATAGCGCTATAAAACCATGGCAAGAGCTGCCGCGGTTCGTTCGTGGCAGGAGCTGCCATGAAGCGGTAAGAACTGCGTCTCAACAACAGCGACAGCGATGAAGGCCATTTCTTATTCTGTCATTACTGTCTTATTACAAATAAATAAATATCGAACCACGACGGGACACGGGATGTTAGTCGTTGACCACTACACAAAGTTGGGACACTCTTCACTTTCATCTACTTATTTTGATGAAAATTTTAAACAGTCATAAAATTGTTATTGTCTCTGTAACTGCTAATTATTGTTAAACAGGCAGTTTAGCTGTTTTTACTTGCTTTACATTTCAAATAAATATATATTGGGTACTATAACATGCGCATGTATGGTTGTGTTTGCCTTACCCAACAGTAATTGGAAGGATTTACATATTTATCCCGGGGGAGAGGAAAGCCGATAGGACGGCTTAGTCATCTTAATCATATGGCGAACCACGGCCTCTCGTCCGGTTAACGGTCCAGGGATTAGTTAGCCAGTTATTTGTTTTCGGAAGTATGGACTTGGTGATTGAGGAAGCCGTAACCGACCAGCGGTTACGTGAACCACCCTACGGCGGCGGGAAGTCCAGCAATCCTCTTGCACATGATCATCCCCGCGAACCTGCGAACCCACGAAGGGTAATCAGAGATGCGGTGGCGAGCGTATTCCTAACGCTTAGCACGATGCGCCACACCGCCGAGCCAATTGAATTACATGGATATGGTTTTCTTTAAATACGTGTTCACATTCTGACTTCTGCATGCGCAAGTTATTTTTAATGTTGGATTTTTAATATTACGCATTCATGGTTTTTGTTTTCCATTAGGGTAGAGTCATTCATTATCACATTCACAGAGTCAATAAAATAGAGGCATATTCAACTCATGAGCATTTCCAAATTTATAAACGCGGACGCCCCAATTTGACAGCATTGGCGTATTTTGACATCTTTAATTTGACTCACCGACCCTATTTCGCCAGCCCCAATTTGACACGCATTTGGGATTTTGGCGAGCAGTAATTTGACAGCTCGAACACGATTATGGACCTTTCCCCAAGCATCGACTTCCTTGTTTACTTCGTGACATTGGCCAATCAGCAAGATGCAAAAAGTGCCGTAACAATGCTTCCTTTACGCTTCCGCTCAGAGTTCAGACACTTTTCTCACTCAGACAGATTTTCAGG